GGGGAGGGGCAGCAGGGACCTGTGAGGAGGCCGGACTGGGACAGGATGTGTCTGTGGAGGTGGCTCCTTTGTTGGTCCCCAGCTGCCCTGCTCCGGTGCCCCCCACCGTCCTCAGGGAGTCCTTTCTAGCCCGGAAAGAAGGTACCTGGAGAATTCCTCTCACCTGTTCCGCAGGGGCTGCTTCTGAGACTCATCAAGGCTTGTCTGTCAAGGGCACAGGCCTGGCCAGTGTTCAGGGCCCCGGGGCCTCTTAAGACGGCTGTTTCTTCTATCTGAGCTCTGTTCCTGACGGGGGTGGGGTGAGGGCACTGGGCTGGTGGGGCCCACGGGAGGGGTTGTGCATGGGGCGCTGTTGGAGGGGTTCCCTCCTAGCCCAGGGAGGCACGCTCGCCATCCTCTCCTGCCGTGGGGTGCGAATTAACTCCAAACTGGGGAACCAAAGTGTCCGTAAGGGCGGAGTGTGTGGGTTTGTCTCCCCCTGAGCTGTTGTGCTTCGTGCCAGACACTCTCCAACGCTAAGAGCCCTGGTTCCTTACACCCGTGCAGCTTGCTCTTGACAGGGAAGTTGGCAAGGGGCTGGGGTGAGGAGGGTCCACCCCGCTGCCGCCGGCCTGCGCCTCCCCCTCCCCCACCCTCGCAGAAGCTCTCACACGGCCCTGGCAGCAGCTCTGGCTCTCTGCCGGCCTGGGAAGTTTGGAATCTGCGAGTGGAAAAGCCTGGATCAGAGCTGGAGAGGGTGGGGTGGTGGGCGGGTGGGAGCAGCATCCACATTTTCCTGATGGCCTCCCCTTCCTCAGAGCCAGAAAAGAGGTGCAATGCTCAGCAGTCTGGAGTCGCTGCCCGGACCCTGCTGGGCCTGCTCCCTGCCCACTGGCACCTAGAGGTGGCCCTAGGTGCTCACTCTCCGGGAAGGCCTGAGGCACTCAGGGCCCTGGTGTGCTGGCACTGAGGCGAGTGTCAGGCTGGGCGGTGGCGCACACACCCAGCAAGGCTGGGGACGCCAGGGCCTGGGGCCTGGACTCTGCAGGCTGCACAGAGCGGCAGTCCCACCTCCTGTTTGATGCAGGCAGGGCCCAGCTTCTCCTCCCTGAGGCCCTGCAGCCCCTCCCCACCCCAGGGAGGGGGGGGGGCGAGGCCTGCCAGCAGCCAGCTCCTCACAGACCCAACTCCGGAGTCCTTCCTGCTGTGCAGCTTCTGAGAGGCAGATGAACACCCCAATGGGGGCCACACATCCTGTTCTCTTCCCACGCACCCCGACTCATGTCACCTGCCGGTGCGTGTGGCTCTGTGGTGTTTCGGGAGCAGACCTGTGCCCTGTGCACCAGATCTAACCTGCAGATACCTGTCTACTGCGCTAAAAGCAATGGATTTACTGCATATGTGAAGCACTCAGGAGATTTTAAGTATATATCCTGTATGTCTATCTTCACAATAAAAATCAGGGCCTCCCCATAGTGGCCACATTCCTGTGTGGCATCTATTGCTCTAGCTGGTAGCATCTCCCCCCAATTCCCCCGGACAGGTTTCTAGTTTCCACCGTCCCTACCACTGTTGCCTGAAATGTGGCCCAAGGTGCTCAGGTGTGTCACCTGCCACACAGGTAGGTGTAGGAGTTTACAGACACTGCTGCAGATGAAGACGGGCCCAAGAGCTGCTAAGCTCACTCCAGATGGATACGGCCTGTTTCTCTGCTCCCTTGGGGTGCGCTGGCTGTGCAGGCGGCCCGGATCCCCACAGCTCCCCATTTTGCCTGTTTCTATGACAAATACCCAGAGGGGCTGTCCCCATCCAACAGGGATGTCCCCTTCCAAACGGAAGGGGGCGTGGGTGTGTCTTGACATGGTCTTGGTTTAACATCCACATTTTGAAAGGTCTAGAGTTTGGCCCTCGAGGGGTGATGTCCAGAGGCTGTGATGAGCTGAATCGCCTCCCCCCCTTCTTCTGTGTCGCCTCCTCCCTCTGGGCCACCTCTGCCATCATTATGCGTGAAGAAGGACCACAGGTCTGGCCACAGCTGCTCTTGGCTTCGCCTGTGTGACTTGCAGGAGGCAGGAGGCTGAAGGCTGGGGGCTGGAGGCTGGGCCGAGCCCATTGGTGGGTGTCTTCTGTCCCTCGGCTTGGTGTTGAATAGGGGCGACATCCAGCGGGCTTGGTCGATCCGAAGGTCTGTCTTGTCCCCGAGGCACGCTCTGAGGCTCCCACGGCAGGTGGTGTCCAGTCTGCTTCCCCGTCTGCCTAGCTTGGCACTCCGTGGAGGAGACTGCAGTCCCAGGCAGTGAGCGCCAGGGATTTGGGGAGGCGGGCTCACCAGCTCTGTCGAGGGGACCCTGTAGGCCCCAGCTGTGGCGGTAGATGGACACTCACTGCTCCTCACAGACGTGGGCCCAACGGCACTTTGCTGTCTTCGTCTCAATTCCGCTTCCAGGTCAGTGGCTGTCGGTCAGCCTTGCACAGGGCACCTGCCACGGGTGCTAGCTTCCTCTCACCTGACCCAGCCCGCACCAGCTCATCTTCCTGGGGCCCCGCTCTGTGCTCGGCTGCCCACTGAGGGGGAACACAGCCCCCACGGCGGGTTTGCCTCGGTCCTCAGCCCACGCCGTGCCTCCCCCTCTGCCCGCCCCTCAGCTCGCGCTGTGCTTTCGGGTTGGCTGTAAAAGCTGCCTCTCCTCTCCCATCCACGTCTTCGCATCTGTCTCCCCAGCTCTGGTCTTCTGCCCAGAACAGGGTGCTGAGTGAGGAAGAAGCCCGTGGGCAGGGCAGCTCCCCTCCTCCAAGGTGAGCGTGTCTGGGGGTTTGGCAGTGGAGCCTCAAGAGCACCCCGAGTCCAGTGCTTCTCTGTGGTCCGTTTTATCCTAGAAATAGTCTCGCTTGCATACGAGCATGTGACTCCTATTTACATGTTTGAATAGTATATAGTTTTTGCACTGAAATAATGAACAAAACTCATGCCCCAGGAGAAGGCTCCACAGGTTTTTCCTGGAAAGGGCCAGAGTAGACACATTCGGCTGTGGGGCCGGGTGGCTTGTGACAAGCAGCACTTGGCTCGGCTTCAGCACAGCCAAGACGGTGCAGGGAGGGACGGGTGTAGCTGGACGCCAGCCACACTCCTTGGTCTCAATCTGGTGTGATTTTCATGTGTCCTGCAGACATTTCCATCATTTAAACACATAAAGGCCACTCTCAGCCTGGGGGCTGTCTGGAAATGATGCTGGCCCCATCACCCTGGAAGGCAGGTGTGTCAGGCCTGTGGTTTTGGAGCCAGACCCACCTCTACACTCGTGTTCTCTCAGCAGCTGTGCACAGAAGATAGGCGACACCTGCCTGCACTTTATCCTCACCTGGAGAACATGCTCTAGGCTGAAGCCACACATGCAAGGCCTGCATCAGTGATCAGCCTGAAAGGCCCCACGAGGCACTGACTGGGCCAGCTTTCGAGGTGCAGGTGGGTGGAAGGTGGTCCCGGCCCCTGGCCTGGTGGGTGAGATGTGGCACCCCCCCTTCCCGACAGCTCTTGCAGCACCGTGTTCAGCGGTGGGCAATCCGCGAATACCCCAGGGCCAGAGTTGAGCTGTTTTCACACCATAAAGTTGGAGGCTCTCCCCACTGGGACTTTCAGCCCTGCCTCCAGGTCACTAGTCAAACCTTGTGAAAACGAGATGCTGGCTTGTAGAGACTTCACGTGATTTAGGGCTGGGGCCAGCTGAACCAGAGCTCAGACAACAGGGACTGAGCCACCAGCTTCCTCAGGCATTTCCAAAGGGAGGTCCCGGGCACTTCCTCAGAGAGCCTATACTGCCCCTTCACTAGTTCCTTTGTGACTCCTGACACCTCACGGAGTCTGGCTTACGATGGTGCCGGGCACGAGGCAGCCCAGGCCACATGTCCTAGGCACCTGTCCTTGTGTTCCCAGACTGGGTTTTGACAAGCCAGTCTAGTACCAAGAGAACCCCATTGCTGAGCTAACAAAGACATCTTGTAGGGACTTCCAGACCAGACAAACAGCAATTCTTGAAAGAAACCATTAGAAGTAATTTGGTGCAAATTAATCAAGCATAGAGTATATAACACACCTCTTTTTTCCCAGTGCCATTTTTTTCAAGTGTAACTCAGATCTGGTGTGTGGTGGAGAGGTTCTAGACTGGTATCACAAAAGCTGGGGTGTTCTGACTTCAGACACATGGATAGAGGCGGGGGCCGGTGGGGCTCAGCCCCATTCTCTGTGACAGCTTGTTGGGTCTTCTGCTGGCTTCCCCTCGGCAGGCTAAACTCCAGCACATGTCCACCAGCAACCAAGGTGTCCCAAGGACACGTTTATGGCAAACAAACAATAGCCCAACATGCCGGACTGCTTTTCTTCCCTTTTAGAATCTATAGGGCGGAGTTATGATGTCAAGGGTAAAACTAAGATTCTACACTTACTCTGTGTGACTGAGTCCCCTACCTAAGGAGATCGTTCAAAGCCTGGCCTCGAGGCTGAGGAGCTGTTACATACGCTGAGAACTGGAGCGGAGAGACTCCACGACTACTAGAGCCATGTTGTGCCCGTTCTCCCGGTCTGTCGCTCCACTTACGTGTTGGTGAGGTGGGATTTCCTGTCAATCATCAGTAGTATCTGACACAGCCCTTTGGGGCTTAATGTTCTTCTGGGGCTTGCGGGTGATAGCTTCCAAAGCTCGGGGCCACCATATGCACAGAAAGCCTCCGACATTTCAGCTTCTGAGGCATTCCTGTATTTTAGGGGCTGTCTCCAACCCCAGAGGTCTGGGAGCCCCCGCCCGGCCCGCTCATGCCACTGTGGGTGTGTTCAGCCCTTGAGCCCATGGGTGCACTGAGCCCTCTTGTACGGTTGTTTCAATTCAGATGTTCCGGTAGGTTGGGAACCAGGTCAAGTCTTGTTTAACAAGCCCCCACAGGGTGCCCAGCACCAATTGGCCACCTAGAAGGCGTGGATTCCGTGTGCAGAGGATGCAATAAAAAATGCCCAGGTAGCAAGAGACATTCAAGTGCCACTGAATTTCTCAAATACAAATTTGACTTTTAAACTTTTGTCTTTTAAATCCAGGATCAAGTACACAGACAATTTATTATGTAAGACATGGGGTGAAGAATGATCGAGGAAAGTGATGGCTGTGAGTGACATTGAATTAGATGAAAAGGCTCAAGGTTGTTGAAGAGAGTTTAGATTTGGCTTCTGCTCTTGGAAACGTCAAAATAATAAGAAGCACTTATGCCTTACAGAGCAAATAATCCAGAGTGTCATTTTCATTTTGCAAACAGGGACACAATAGCAGTCAAATATAAGCCTAAACACCCAGAAAGTTAACATATAGGTTCAATAAGATATAACAAGGGATTGAGCATGCTGGTGGGTTTTTAAACCAAATCCATATTGAACCCTGTGACCTACTGGAGAGTCTAGTGGGACCTGGGAAAGCAGCTTTTCCATACAAACGGCGACGAGGCGACAAGGACAGGAGACCCAGGCTCTGCTGGGTGTCTATAATACTCATTTTGCAGTAAGGCTTTCAAGATACATGAATTTTTATAGCATTTGTATTTTAAGGATTTAGGGCAAATACATTTTTTTTCTACTTGATAAAAAGAAAATTAGTACTTAAAAGGTTCAAAAATATATCGATTGAGTGATTTTTTTACATAAATAAATTATATTGATTTTTAGGATTTAACAGCTGAAAAAACCCTTTCTTGCTTCCACTGGAGGCAAAACTGAACAAAATGTTAGTTAAATAGAGAAAGCAGCATTTCTAAGAAATCTGTTGTCAGCATCACAGAACATCTATGCTACAAAGATGTCATTAAATAGGATCTGTTCAATTACTGGATTCTTTCTCCTTATATGATCAGCTATACAGTTTCTGATTTATATCTCTGATTCATAAAACTGGGGCTCCGTTTTTTTTAAAATACACCTGAATGATTTCTCGGTCACAATTTAACAGACTTCTTTGAGATGCTTGTTTTAACATTTACATAATTTATAATCCCAAATGTATAAAAGACAATGGCAAAAAGCATCATAAATAAATAATGCAAACTGAAATAGTTATGTCAAACTTTTGGACCTTCTGATAAATTAGCAAAACTGTAACAGAAAAAGTAAAAAATACAGTAAATCGTGACAACAAAGTGGAACTGGTACTAGTAACACTTCCAACATTTCCGACAGCCCTGCACGGCCTGCCCCAGGCCCGAGCTCATTCAAGTCTCAGAGAGTGAACTGTCAGTAAGACTATCAAAAGGGAGGGGAGAAAAAAAGGGGTGCTGCTCGGGCATTCTGCTCAGCCGGCGGGAAGGAGGGAAAGTCAAGGCGATTTGCAACGGTCTCCACTAACCTGACAATCTGGAATTTGGGTCCAACTGTATAAACAGAAAAGAGGGAACATGGAGAAGGAAAAGCGTTTCACAGTCATATTAAAAAGGGTGGTACACACATTTTGACAACCTCGAGTAACTCTGACAAAAAGACCTAGCAAGTGTAAAAGTGTTGAGTGATGATTTTCTTGCAGGCTCTAGAAACAGCCTTTTTGTGGTGAAGTAAAGCACAAATAAAAGCCCATCAGGCCCTGGTAGTAGCGAGAGCCATTCTCAAGCGAAGGAGGTGCCGGCCGGGCGCCAGCCGTGTGCTTGTGAGCAGCGTGGAGCCCCGCGGAGGGCGGCCCCTCGCCCAACTCTGCAGAGGCAGGAACTCCAGGCCCAGAGAGCGTCCCCCATCGAGGACGTGCTGTTAGTTTGGGAGGGCTCGAGGACGTGCTGTTAGCTTGGGAGGGCCAGCACGCGCGTGTACAATGCCTAGAAATACTGCCTTGCCAGCATTTCTTCTTGCTGCAAGTTTCAGAAAACCATAAAGGGGAAAATTATGCTACTGCCAGTAAGGTTTTTGCTATAAAGAAATGGACATACGCATTTTCAACCATTAGTTATATACTGCTGTCTATACTACGCATTTAGTCATCATGATAAAATAGGGAGCCATTTTAACTAAAAAATATGCACCAGCACTTCCTTTTTCTGTGCTTTTTGGTTTCCCTGTTACATTCTTCCCGTTTAACACAGCTCACGGAAAAAAAGCTGCTCCTCATGTCTGTTCTTCGGCCCTGCAATGATAAATCCCTGGGCAGCGCTCTTTTGCCATTTTTCCTCCTCAAGTAAGAGGGAAACATGGACAAGAAGGGGGTAGGGCGTGTCACCAAGTACTGTATTAACTACAATTGCTGGAATGAACGACGGGATAACAGAATGAGAACTCTGTGCCTCCTAGACTAGGTCAACGACACTTATCTAATGAAGTGGCAAGACCCTGCAGCTATTCACATCTGTTACCATGGTTCTCAGACAGGAAATTAGGTAGGTAATAATTACTGATGGAAACACAGGTTCTTGTGAGGGTGAAGTGAGGGAAGTAACAAATCGTTATGGGATAAGAAACTTACAAGTCACAATAATTTCTTAAATGAAAAAAGTTCTAATTGGTGTCACTGTTAGAGTCTTTGAAGGCCCCGTCCCCAGCGTGGGATGCGTGTTCTCTACCTGGGGGCCCCGGGGCCCTGGGTTCCGGGCAGTTCTGATCACTGCTTGGCTCCTTTTCGGACCCAGGAGCAGGCTCTGGGTTGGGGGTAGGGCTGTCCCCTTTTGCTTTCTTCTTCTTCCTCTTCTGGCTCTCCAGACCGACTATTTCAGAGTGTCTGGCCTGCTGCATGGCTGGCAGAGTCATGCCCATGCCAGGGGAGAGGAACATGGACGGGTAAATGAGTCCAGGAGACACTCCTGGGATGAGAAACGGGTTAAAAGCCACAGGACTACTTGTAGTTATTGCAGGTTCAGACTGATCAGAAAATGGACTAGGGCCAGGCTTGTCTTCAGCTAAAGTGTCCGTTTTTCCATCGTGGCTACCTGGCTTGTCTTCTGCAGTCTTTTCAGTCGCTGACGTACCACTTTTTGTTGTGCTTGATAGAGGAGCTGGAGGGGAGGAAGTGCAGGTAGTAGCCATGGGTGCACCGAGGAGTCCCCCAACACCAAACATCTGGGGCATCGTGGCCATTCCCGGTAGCATCATGGGCAGCATGCTCAAGGTGCTTTTGACCTCTTCACCCGTGGGCATCGTGGCAAAGCCAGCCGGGAATCCCACCAGCCCCGTGAGGGGGATGCCTGGCATGTTCCTCATGTTCTGCAGTCCCACCAGGTCCATCCCAGCAATCAGCCCATTCATGAAGAGTGGCCCCATCCCCGAGGGAGAGTCCGCCACGATGGCGGGTGCTTTCAGCAGCTCACTCCGAGGCCGCCTTCCCCTCCTGCGAGGGCCTGCATCTCGGACAACAGGCTCAGCCAGAGTGTGATTGAACTTGTTTTCTGGAAGAAATCCCTGAAAAAGAAAAAAGAAACGTTAAGATGCTCCTAGTTACTGGGTGGCAGGTGACCAACTGGGATCTTGAGATGATCAGGGTTCTGTCCTAGGCTGGCCTGGCCCTGCCAGTCCAGCTCACCAACACAAAGGCTCAGAGGGGGGGTTCCCCTGCCTACCTGCCTGAGGTGGGACCACTCTTTCTTGCCTCACTGCAACTCAATAGTTTCTTCCTCAGGCCAAGAGCCTGTCACCACGAAGCAGTGCTTCAAGTGGGTTCATCACACAAAAGCAGCATCCACCTGAAGCAGCAGGGCTGGAGCCAGAGACCAGATCCCAGCTTCTGCTTCCTCATATGGCAGGACGGTTTTTTTTTTTTTTTAAATTATTACAAAAGTTTATTTTTACATCATTTTGCACATTTTTTTTTTTCCCATCTCGATTGTAATCCCCGCGGGTTTCAAACAGGAAGGTTTTTAATGGAAGCAAAAAGCTGAGTAGGTAAGTCAGGGTTTTGCAGCAGACAGGCCTGAGTTCCAATTCAAACACTAACCCCCTAGCAGTGGTACTCCACCAAGGCCATCAAGCCTCCCAGAGCTTGGGGAGAAAGGGCAGCGGTACCTGTGTGGTGGGGTCACCACAGAAGTACACAAGGGGCGTGACCAACAGAGGCAGCGACAGGAATCTGCTCCTGCTGGGTCAGAAGCGCCTGGAAGGGGCTGACGCTATAGGAAACAGGATGCCCCTGCGCTTGCTGAGCACCTTGGGGAACTGCATCAAACAAGTAATGCTCTAGTTTCCCTTAAGGGATATTTCCTGGAGGGAAAGAGGTTCTTCCCTAGCAGCGCGCTGCGAGTTAGGCATGCCTGTTCCGCGAGGGCCGGGCTGAGACAGTCGCCTGGGCCCGCTGCGTGGCGGCTCCGGAGCGCCACGGTTCACAGACAGGGCGCCAACAGGGCGGCAGGAGAAGGCACCAGTGAGGGGACCGCACAGCTGCACATGCTCTTCCTGACCGTGGCCCAGGGACAGCGAGGACACAGCCAGGACCACACGGTCAGCTGAAGACAGAACAAAACAAGCTGCTGCTATCATGATGTGAATAACCCTGAATCTGTTTCAAAAACTGTGAACAAAGACAGTTTCCCACAGAAAGGAGGAATTTCCTTCAGGTCCCTCTGAACATGCCCTGGGAAGCTACACCCCTTTCCTCCCACCACCACCCCCCGCTCTCATTTTCCAGCTGCACGAGGCAGCAGCACAGAAGGTGGGTCACATTCTGCTGCTGAGCCGCCTCCGTCTCTCCTTTGTACAACGAAGCATCAAGAAAAAGCCCTCTCCCGTGGGCCCCCGGGCTGTCGTCTCCCCCTCAGCGCCTCACTGAAAGGAAGCGGCCCTAACTGCCAAGGCGCTGGTCCCAGGGTTCCAGTTACAAGCTGGCGTCCCGCCCCTTCGCAGCGGCGCTGAGGGCGAAGGCAGCTCCAGCACAGAGGGATCTCAGTGCTGGATTCCCGTGGGAGTCCAGCTCCCCCTGGAGCTGAGGTGTGGAGACTGGGGCAGGTGCGACCAGCCCCTCAAGAGCAGACAGATGGGGGTGCCACAGAGAGCTGGGCCTGATGCTGCAGGAGCCCAGTGTCCCTGGCCGCCTCCCTTTAGAATCCTTCTCGGTGTAAACGTCTCCCCCGCCTGCAAGTCCAGAGTGAGGAGCAGAGATCTCACTAGCAGTGTCGATGCCACCAGCAGGCACCTCCTGTGTCTCAGGCTCGGGTGGGGGCCACGCCCTCGGGGAGGACACTCAGAGCTGAAGAGGCCCAGGAGGACCCAAAGAAACTTTCAGGGTCATGAGTTCTTGAACACGGAGAAACCACCAGGGAGACTGAGGCTGTACGAGGCTGACCCTTGGCGACCAGGACTGAGAACTGTTCAACTGTTCTACAGTCTTGCCAAGGACACTTTAGTGCAGTAGCTCTGGTGTTTCCACTTGGTTCACTCCCTCTCACCTCCCTTAACTGCTGAAGAAGTTGCGCCTCTAGGAAGCGCCACAGAGCTTTGTGCAAAGGGCTTGGCAGACCCGGGGTGGCCAGCGGCAGGGTGAGGCGCTTGCCAGCAGCAGCACACTGGCGTTCAGGGTGGCAGCGTGTGACAATGCCGAGCCAGCGTGTCCTGTGTCAGGCACTGTGCTCAAGGTGCAGTGGGCACTGTCTCCTCTGACCTCACACCCCCTCTATGGAATCAGTGCTGCCACGGCCATCTTACAGGAGCTTGTAATTCTATGAACACGTGAAAAACATGCACTTGAATGTTCCTGAGTACCCAGAAATAATGTTATTTTCAAAGTTCTGCCTCTGTTCACCATTTCCCCAAAGAATGTTCAAGAACAGCCAGGTCATCATGGGCAAAAAGCTTTATGATGGTCGATTCTGTTTGCAAACTCTTCTCCAAAGGCTCTGGTTTTGAAAAGCAGAATTAGGAGAAACCGCCTGGTGCGAACCTTTAGTCCTTTTCACAGGTGAGGGCAGGGGCTTGTCGAGGGCGCCGCCGGCCAGGCGGAGCAGCTAGCACAGGCCCGGCTGCGCACCGCACCGTGCGGCTCAGCCCCATGGGCCCGGCCGGCGGTGACTGGCTAGGCTGGTCTGTCCTGGAGAGGCTGGGAAACTGCTGGCTCTGGCTCTGGTTACAGGGCAGCAACACCTGCGTGGGTCCTACTTCGACAGAGAGTGTGGGGCTCCATGGGCTGGGCCAGACTGGAAGCACGGCTCTTGCCAGGTATCCTGTGTAGGCTGCCTCACCCTGGCGTCTCCGCAGCCTTGGGGCCTACTGGTCACACCTCCTCAGCTCAGGGCCCTGGCCGGGGGAACAACTCAACCAGCCACAGCCAAGAGCCAGGGAAAGATGCTGGGGTGTGTCTTTTTCCTTTGTTTCTACAACCTTCCTCATGACTCTCCCCGTAACTCTCTGGTGGGAGGGCATGTTCACTTTTATAAGATGTTCTGGTTGGGAGAAAAAACAAACCAAATGAAAAAGGTCTTGATCCTATTTTTAAAATTTGCTATAAATCAGATATTCTTTAGCCTACTTTTCTTTGAGCTCATCAGCGTATTTAAGACCAGCCTGCATCCTACTGGATCTTTTATCTCCCCTGACCCTCATCATTAGTGCAAGTTGCATTTCTCAGGCATGCAGATGCCCCAAAAATGTTGTGTACAGAACCACTGATGTAGAGAACGCTGGGTCCTTTCAGAGCAGCGAACTTGTCAAGAAGGCACAAGCTGACCACCTTGTCCCCTTCAGGATGGAGAGCAGGGCAGGAAGGCCCAGGGGTGTGTCGGACAACAGCTCGTCACGCGTGCCAAGGGAAGAGGTGCGCTGCGAAGGAAGTCGGCGCGCACCACTTCCTGTGGGAGGCAGGCACGCTAGCCAGCCGGAGCCGCCCGAGCCGGTGCCCTCCCAGCAGCTGCGCGACCACACACAGCGCCAAGTCGGCTCTTGGCAGCTCTCCCTGCTGGTAATCATACCCTGAGAGCAAGCCCACTTCCTCTTCCAGAGAGCCTGGGGAGAGGGCAAGGAGAGAAAGGCAAAGGGAGTCAGATACTCCAACAAATCCCGAGGCAAATACGTGTTTCCAGATGCCGCGTGGGTATGTTCCGACCCAAAAACACCGCTACCAACCCCGGAGGCCTGAGCAACTCAAAGCAAACTTAACTCCTGCTTATGGGCAGAGAAGGTGGTCACTAGAACTTACCCCCGCCCCCTCCAGGAAGGTTAATATGTTTGGCCAACATTCACCGAGGGAAGAGACCTTACAACACACTTATATTATGTGGTTTTAAAGTGAAATTCTAAATACAAAACAGATACTAGCTTCAAGACATTTTTGAGACAATTGGGGAAATGTGACTATGGACTAGATATTATCATCTTCACATGTGGTAACAGTGATAGTTACACAGGGAAAGTGTTCCTGGGAGACATACATCGAAATATTTAAGGGTGATGTGTCCTGCCTGCAATTTACTGTCAAATGCCTAAGCAAGAAACACAAAACTATACACACATACGTAAAGCAAATGTAATTTGCAAACACAGAATCTCTGAAGTGTGCATGTACCTATGTGCACACTTGCATTGATGAGTGGCCACTGAGCCCCACATTCTGAAAGCTGAAACCCATCTCAGTCTGCCTGATGCTAAGTCGTGAAGCCAGCCCAGCTCTCTGCAGGGCTTGCATTTGTCTCTGAGAGGAGGGGTTAGGGTTTCTATGGGAAAAAGGGGTGCTGCACACTCCAGCAGGCAGCGATCCCAGGAGTAGCTGTGGGGGACAAAGTTGAGGGGAAAGGGATCCTCATGGGCCTGGCACAGTGTCACTTCCTGTTGGCAAGGCCGAGCATTCCTGCAGACTAGGTGGACAAGTGCTTCCCGTTCTTGCCTCACTGCAGGAAACGGGCCTCTGAGGCAGGGGCTGTGTTTATTTAACAAAGGAGAGAAAGTGTGTCTTTGGTAAGAGGCGGGCTTTCAAGAACAGCGAGGAAATGGGTTTTCTGGCAAGGAGCTGGTGTCTGCAGGGGAGTGATGAACACTAATTTCCAGAGAACATGAAGGAAATTATTAGACATTACAGAAAGAAATAAAAAAAGCCAAGAGGGTAACCACATGTTTTTCTGACTTGTCTCTAAGGCTAGAGCCCAGAGAGTCCAGCAGAAGGAGAACTGGAGAGCGCCCCTGGACACGGAGTGAGACTCAGTCACAAGGAGGAAGGTGGGGGGGCAGCACGAAGGGGATGAGAAAGACAGGTGGGCTAGACAGAAGCTACAGCTGCGGCAGCCTGTGCAGGACAAGGCGGTCTGAGAACAGGGGTGTTAGGCAACTTTCCTGAGAACAAAGCTCTAGAGGGGGAAAAGAGATTTTCCAAGGCGAAAAGCTTTGAGGCGAGCCTCCCCCAGGCGGCCGGCCCCTCCCCGAGCGACTCCGCTGGAGGCCGGAGATGCTGAGCTCCCTCCCCTCCGTTAGCCTTAGCCAGTGAGCCGCTGGAGCCACCGGGTCAGCAACACGTTCCCTGAGAACACCGACTGGTGGGTGGTCTTTTGGTGCTAAAATAAGAAATCACATCCAGGCCACTCCACTGAGAAGGGAACTCGTACGCGAGGAAAGCGTGCTGGCTGACAGCCGAGAGAGGCGCGCGGGGACTGGGCGCAGAAGCCAGCACAGGATCGCAGAACGCATATTCACAAGGTCAAACAGAACCTGCCCAGCCGACCGCATTTTCAGACTGAAATGTCATTACTGCCCCCTAGAGGTTGTAAGTCCTCCAGCCCAAAGTTACACTCATCTGTAAACGATAATTAACTTAGATTCGTTACACTAGAAGCATTTTGCAGATGTCTTCCAAGTCTCTGCCAGGCGCATGAGTCTGCAATAGGGAAAGCGGCGTACTTGGGCTTGCTGTCTCTCTCTGCTAGGGAGGATGGGCCAGGCGGAAGCGTCTTTTATGTGGCAGCCAGGAAAACTGTGATAGAAAACGAGGCTTCGCAATGCTGCAGTTTGATAAAACACAGGAAACAGACTTCTGACAAGAGTGAGGGGTCTCTTCCCCCAGGGGTGAGGAGGAGCAAGCTTGGGAAGACTTCAGTACGAACAGTTTTGGAGGTAAAGGTCCCAACAGATGCCCACCGGAAGTCCCACTGCGGCGGCCCCCCCAGCACTTAGCCCTCCCGGCAATTTCTCCTGCCCACTGGGAAACGGCGCCAGTTACCCACTTCTCAGGCGAGCTTGCTCTTTATGTCTTCAAGCTTTGGCACCACAGAGGGCTCCTTTCCTTACCCTTAGTCCTGGCTCCTTGGGGGCAACAGCAGGCACTCTCTCTTCCCCACTCAGAGAGTTGACATCTAATTTTCCAGGTTCCTTACAGCGCGGTCGCCTCTGCTTTGGTTTGTCTGAAAAATTCTAAGAGGCAACATCATAGAACAGTGTCATAAATTTTTCTGATGAGGGTGTTTTTCAGCAGCAGCTGTTTCTGCTATTTCTAGTTAATGGTGGTCCACACAGGACCCCTCAGGTTAGCCTGACCCGGCCCTCATCTTGGGTCTCTTGTTGAAATCAAGTGTCCTCTAGCAAGATGAGAAACAGGCTGTGTGGCCCTTCAGACTAAAAACCCTGGTTCCGAGGCATTGTTGACTCCCTCGCCTTTCCCTCATCTTTTGGGATTCTCTGTCCATCGCCACCCACCTGGCTTTTGTCTTTGGTGGGTGTGCATCGTGGGTGTACTCTGCCTCTGTATCTCATGAATGATGCGTGCCAGGACCAAGACAGTGGCAGGGTACGTGGACAAGTGAGGAAAGAGAAATCTAGAAAAGCCATCTAGTGCCCAGGAGGGCTTTTCTCACAGGTTTCTAATCTGAGGGATTTAGGCAGTGAAAGGAGTAGAGGAAGAGTCCCAGGCAAAAACAGTAAAACGAAGAACATACTTCAAAGCTTAACGTAGTAACGTGAAAAGAACACACACTAAGTGGCAGCTTTCATCTACACTAACAATTACTCTATGAGTTTATGATCCCGTCTGGTAATTTTTTGAAGAAGGCTAAGCTTAGGCAAGTTCTGTCCTCAATAAGATTGTGAATTTCTACTTCTTTGGTACAGCAACCTGACATTGGCTCTAATTTCCTGTGATTGGAAACTTCATTTTACTTTACAATGACATTATCAGATGATAATGATTTTTCTCAAATTCTTGGCCTTCCTGATTTTCTTAAGCACATTATATATATATAAATAGATAGTATAATACTTTATTTTTACATCATTTTGTACATTTTTTAATCTCAATTGTAATCCCCGTGGGTTTCCCATCACTGAGTCACCCGTGTGCCATCACCATAGTCCCATGCACCCCCCCCCCTCGTTTTTGATCCCGTTCCCCACTCCACCCCCACAACACGTCTCTGGTATATGGCTGTTCATTATTATTATTTTCTCGCCTGGTCCATTATACTCCTGCTATGAGCGAAACCGTCCGATATTTTTCTTTTTCTTTCTGGCTTATCTCACTAAGCATGATCTTTTCCAGCTCCATCCATGTTGCTGCAAAGGACGTGTTTCTTTTTTTTGGTTGCTGAGTAATATTCCATTGTATATATGTACCACATCTTTTTGATCCAGTCATCTACTTGTGGGCATTTGGGCTACTTCCATGTTTTTCCAATTGTAAATAAAGCAGCAATAAACATGGGGTGCAGGTATCTTTCTGAATCAGTGTTTTTTTGTCTTTTGGGTAGATACCTAGGAGTGGGATTGCTGGGTCGTAGGGAAGCTCCATGTTAAGCAGTTTGATTCAGCACATTCTTTATCAAAAATGGTACCAAGTCAGCAGGGGAAAAAAATAGCAGTTGTAGGAAACAGCAACTTACTGTTCCGAAGCCAGGAACTTCTAAGGAGTAGTCAGCCTGCTGCCTCAGCCAGTCAAGTAGGCTCTTGCTGGGGATGGCTTTCTCGGTCTGGCTGCCGGCTGCAGGGGCTGGCTCCGAGGGTGCGGGAGCAGGCACTGGTCCTTCAGGGTGTGAGGTGTTCAGAGGGGCTTGCCCTGGGTCTTCATGTACTTCCTGGATGTAGGACAAACAAGAATATGCAATTACTCATGACAGAATGAAATCTAGTTTCTACGAAGAAACTCTTGAACCCTGACGTACCCCACTGGGGTGCTTGTGTTTCCTACCCTGCAGGTTCAGGGCTTTCTCCACTGCCACCTGACTGGCTTCACTGCACCCCACTTCCTGCCCTGGCATCACTGCACCCCACTTCCTGTCCCCCTCAGCACTCTTACATGTAACAACAACAACAACAACAAAATGCCACCCTGCAATCTGCTTTCTCTCTGTATAGTCTGAGTGTGTTTTAACTATCTCTGTATTCCCAGTGCCTATGATGGGTCCACTGATAAAGTGTCAGTGCTAATAAGTGCATAATATAATTTAAATAATATTTTAAGGTCAAGGGGAAAAAATGAATCAATCATTTCACTGAAAGCTTTAATCATTATTAAGAAACATGTTTACACTTCTAAAAACTGAGACCTTTTTATAGGCTTGCAGGATTGGAGGGAAAAACCTGCCACTTTATAACTTTCAAAATTATACACAGAGCCTAAGAGGAAAGCCTATCCCAAACAACGCAGTCAGCAATAAAGCTCTTATGCTCCAGAGAAGAAAGTCCTTCTTTGTTTTGGTTCCCTGCCACTTAGTAGCTGGGTCATCTTCAGCAAATTTTTTTGAGTCTCACTTTCTTCACTGGTAAAATGGAAGTAATAATTCCACCTTTCTTCACAGGGTTATTGGGAGGAGCAAGTAGGACAGTCGCGTCAAACCCTGAACACAATGCCTGACACACAGTAAGCACTCAGAGAACATGGCTTATTCTTTTTAAAATCAGTAAGCAGGAACCTGACTTCTGTTTTGGAGTGCAAAATGCAGAATACATGGGAAGCACTAAAATACAAAGAGAAGTCAGTGGTGCCTGAGGCGTGAAGCAGAGTGCTGGGGCGCTCCCCTAGCCAGATGCTGCTCTCTCCCGTGTTGTACGGTGGTCTTGGTGCTTCCTCACGGCACCCCTCTGCGATAAATGCCGCCCCGCCACTCGACAGGGAAGCAGAGTGAGTCTTGCTGGTGTGCCTAGCGTTGGCTGGAAGTCAACCCAGGAGCCAGGATCAACACCTAGCAAGTCTCAGCTCCTGGAAAGCCTGCTAGCCGAGCAGCAACGTTGCACAAACTCTACCTGCAACCTTGCGTGAACTCTGCTCCTTCCCCAGAGGCTCTCTGGGAACTTTGGAGGGTGTGGAGTGTTTCCATTTGAAATGTTAAGACCCCTGGCTCATTTCTCCAGGTTGCATGCAGACGAAGGACCTTTCATAGACTAACACTTACTGTAGAAAGACTGAAGGCAAGTTTTAACAGGAGAAAATTAGCAGGACAACTAAAATGGGACAACAATCTCATGGACCAAGCATGGTGCATGTTTCTGAAAGTCAAGGTAATCCCTAATGGCAATATGCACCCACCAGGACTCCTGCCTGAAGCGTCTGCTCCTTCAGGAAGAGGAGGTCCGCCCCCCCATCGACATGCTTCCGCCTCCCTCTCCGTCTCCTGGTGGCAGCGTCCTCCCTTCTGAGGCTCCCGTTGACGATCTGTCCAGTCACTGGATGGACCAGACCAGCCTGTAAGATCCCAGACAAGTCCATGCCAAGGGCCCCTTGAAGGGAACCAATAGCCCCAATCTTAGGGGTGCTGGCGCTCACTGGGAAGGGGGGTGTGGCTCCTGGGGACCCCTCTGACGTGCAGGAGAGATCTATTGCTGACTCCCCGTGCCAGCCATTGAGAACGATGGGGGGGTGCCCGTGGGCAGCAGAGAATGGCTCCAGGCTCCGGGCCTTTGTATCCCTCTCCACCTCGAACTCATAGGGACGTCTGTGCTTCGGCTCATCCTTCGTGAATACCGGAGTCAGGAAGCTCTCCTGCAACACACACAGCGAGAGGTCTGATACCACTTCCGCAACTGAACGCCAGCCCTTTCTTCTCTGGGCTTCGTAGAATTGCTAATGACCTCCTCAAAGTTCTTCTACGTCAAGTCTTCTAGAGCCTTTGCACCCAATCACTTAGACCGGGTTGTTAAAATGCAGACTGTACTTTATTGGGCCTGAGATTCTGTATTTCTCACAGGTTTTCGATGTTGCTGAAATTGTCAATGCTTGAAATACACTTGGAATTGCAAGACTGTTATTTAGGGAATCTCAACTTTAGCTGTACATCAGAATCAAATGAGAAGTTAAAAAAAGTCCGGTTACTCAGGCCACAACCAAGACCGATTAAATCAGAGCAAGTGGCTTTTCAAGGTCGCCAGCAGATTCAATATGTAGCTGGGAGTGAGAACCAGTGTGTTAACACTGTATCTCAAATTAAACTTCAGTTTTAAATTTGAGTGTGTAAAACTCAAAACTCATTTCTCTTTGATTTCCCTAATTTCTATCAGCTGCCATTGCTCTCTTGGTCCTTCAAGTGCTGAACATACGGACCCATTCATGCCTTGCTTTCCTTATGTCTGTATTAACCATCAGGCCATGCTTGCCAAACTGCCTCTCTTTAAAATCCAACTCTGACACTAACTGAGTCTAGAGCCTTGGATCCCCACGTGGTCCCCAGACCAAGGCATCCTCCAGCCCCACCTCTCTTGACCCTCGTCTCCCATAAATCTAACATCACTCCAGATGAGCTGCAAGAGCCTGCCTTCATCATGTATTTCTCTGCTCCAGAACTCTTAATAGCTCTTCACGTTCAATAGGATAAAATCTAAATTCCTCAATTAATACTAATGGCTTAAAAAAAGAAATCTATCCATCTAGTAAATATTTGTTGAAGAGTAACTCGAGAGAAATGCAAAGCATCCCTCCTCCTCTGTCTCTTACAGCCTCACCTTCTGGATCTGGGCCACCAATGAGGCACCATTGCTGAAGCTGTGTTCTGACGCTTCTGGCTCTGAGACGCTGCTTCGAGAACCAGCACTGGTTAGCACAGGGGTAGGCAGGGAGCTCGAGGGCTCATACTGCTGGCTAGAGGGCCACTTCCCCTTTAACACCACGTGGCAGATGTTATCTAGGCGGTTGATTATCACGCGATCCTAAGGAAAGCATGAAAGCATTGAGGAATAGTAAGCACCAAGCGACCATATTCACACTGTCCTTAGATCAGAGGTCAAGTCTTCCAAACAGAAAGGGCTGGTGAACAAAGTATATAGCCAAGTGTACTCACTTCACAAGCCTCGAAGTCAATATCACAGTTTGGACAACAGGGACTAAAGCCACAGTCCTATAAACGCATGGACTATTTGGCACGTCCCTCTTTGGATCTAGTAAGTCAAGTGCATGCATGAACTGTTGATGTTCAAATGAATAGACTTTAAAGATACTATTTCTCTAAGTCTACAACTCAAATACTCGCAAAGGTCTAAATTAAAGGATTCAAAGTTTTCAACGCTGAGCATGCTTTGTGGAGAATGCAAGTTCTGGGAGGTACCTTGGGCCACTCGGAGAAGGAGTAGAGGGTTTTCTCCTGGAGCAGCTGAGCGATGGTGGGAGCCCGAGCCTCCTGTAGGTCATCCCCAACATCTCCAACAACTCCTGATGTTGAACTCTTGCTCTCCTCTTCAGAGTATTTCCCTGGATAATCTGAGAAGAAAGGTCAAAAAACTAGTCAGGCACTTGGGAGACACAGTGATGTGAGAAAGAATGGAACTATTTCTGTCATCCAAGAGTGAGAGAAGATGAATGCCCACTAACAAGCTTTCATGTCTGGTACAGGGAACAAGAAGAAACTGAACACAGTAGTACTTCTGATACATTTGAAAAGACGGTCTGTGATGCAATACAGTCAGAGGCTGAAGTTAATGAGGAAGGAGGAAAACGCATGAAACTACCCACAAAGGTAAAACAGACCGCACAGATGTAAAATAAGACTGTGGACACTAAGTTACTGGTGGCAGTGCGAGGTGCTTACTGAAGCTCATCAGGCTCCTACGTGCTCACCCGCTCGGCAAGGTGGCAGGTCCACCGAGGACACTGCAGGGACAGGTCTTGTTTGAACCACACTCTCCTTGCCCTGTGCTCATGTGCTTTCTAAGGGTGGGTTATCTGGTGATTTTCCCCTCACAAAAAAGGATTAAATAATACTTTTTTGGGGAGGGGTTATTATTATTATTATTTTTTAAAGATTTACTTATTTGTGCACACAGAACTGGGGTACAGGCCAGAGGCTCAGGGGCAGTGAGAGGCTTCACCAGAGACAGAGTGGGGAACAAAACCGGCAGATCCACGAAGTACACTGCTGAGGGGAGCAGCGGGCGGGTCAGGAGAGGTCTGCCACGCCATGTGGTCACCTCCGGGGCAGGCAGGAATCGAACTCATGCGGAAGCGGCTTTAGATTCTCAGTGCTGTGCTTTAACTCGCTGCGCCACCAGGGAGGGTCTATTATCTTTTTTTTAATCGAGGTAACATTTGTTTCTAACACTGTATCTGATTTAGGGGTCTAGGTCCCCACCTCTTCCACTGTGTGTTACCACACCACACCCACCGCCAAAATGCCCACAGTCCTCTGCTGCCACCCATGGGGCCCTTCCCCTCCGGAAGCCTCGGTTTCACAGTTATGTTGTGGGTTTTGCAATTTAACACATGGCAGCAACTCTAGGTCTGGGGTGAGGAGGCCGTGTCACAGACTGGCTCCTTCTGGGTCGGCAGGTGCTACAAACTGACCTATTTTCGATTATCTTCTCTGTGTTACTTTAGTTAGATTACAAGTTTTAATACAGGTTCCCAAGCATTCCTGACAGAGTCACTAATCTCTATGGTTAAAAGCAAAAGGTGGGGGAGTTTAAGAACAAAAAGAAGCCAAGTAACTCCAGGGACCTTAACTTAGCTCCTCTCTCTTCCCCTATTAATACAGTCACTAGCCCAGAAGAGAAAGGTATGTATGCCGGTTTAAATCCCTGCATGTATGCCCACCCACCACTACGTCAGGCACCAAGAGAGGTCTATGTTTTTCAGGGTATTTTTCTGATGAAGTTTAAATGAATTATTTCTTGTTTACCTTAATGTGCTTCTGTTGGGTCTAAAGAAGTAAGACAACAGTTATAAAGGTTAAATTCCACCCACTGTGGCTCAGGACCTCTAAACCCTACTATTTATATTCCCACAAAGCACACAGAAGAATTCCACGGTTGCTTAGTCTCAACATTTAAAGAGTTCCTTCTAACTTGGAACTCTATCTAAGATTCTCCTGTTTAAAAAGATCCAATCTGTATTTTTGAGTTTGCTGTGATTTTGCTTTTTATTTCTGTTGTGGTGCTAAAAGGATTCTGAAGCATCAACATTGTCAAAGGGTTTTGACAAAGACATGAATAAAGGGCACCTCCCTTGCTCACCTCAATAAAGATCAAATTCATTTGACTCAGTTGCAGCTTCATGGTGTTCCCAGCCTGTTCTACTTGACCAGTCTGAAGCACCGTAGCTAGCAGAACCACAACTTACACAGCCAGCTTGTGGCTTGGTGACACAGCCAGCACCTACTGGATGAAGCACACAGACCCTGACTACATCATGTGGCTGGCACAGCACGGACACTGTGATTACCTATCATCAGATAACTGACTCATTCTCCGACCAAGCCCTGTGGCCTCACAGGTGGTGAGGTCTGTTTCAGAAGCCACGGAACTCTTTCAGCAACCCCCGTGCCCTCCCTGTCATGTGAGAACTCGCTTATCCAAGTGTCACAGATCCTACATACGGTACCTTGGTTATGGCAGCTCCCGTCTCTATCATAGTCATCTTTACCCTCAAAATCCGTGTCTTCTGATTTGAGCTCACATCCTTCAGGAGGAAATGGAGGGAAACCTTTTTTTCCTTCTGTACTGTCTTTCCATGGTTCTTTCAAAAGTTCATGCTTTACTTTAAACAGCTCTGACGGAATAGCAGGGTGAGGTTCAGCCTCCACTGTGATACTATTGACTTTGCTTTTGTAGAGGTCTGGGCTATAAACCTTTGGTTTCTCTAGTTCAAACCCATTGTTCTCAGGGCCCCGCGTCCACCTTTCCACGTGTTTGCAGTGACACTGACAAGACACTTGAGGGAAAGCCCTCTGCAGTGCCGGACTTGGGCTGACAACCTCCAGACTTCCTTTTGTGGCTTCATCTACATGGAAGCCTTGGCTCTTGTCCCTAAGGATATTAGTGGTGGGCTCGGTGGGAGGCAGGACCGCTGGCCTTTCCCTCAAGCTTGCTGCATTGTCTGAGTTTTCCTCCTCGTTTTCTTCCTCCTCCTCCTCCTCCTCACTGTGGTTCTGGTTCAACATCAATTTACTTTCTAAACTTTTGTTTTCCAATAGGTCAATTAACTGCTGATCTGATGACAGGTTTCTTTTGGAGTCGCAGACACTAAGATTGCACATATCTACAAACCCACTTTCACTGCCTTGATCCAAGGAAGGGGTGGCTAAACATTTGGCCTCCAGCTGGCCAAAGCTTTCAGGTCTCTGCCTCAATTCACTGCAGCACAGTTCCTCTTCCTTTGAAAGAGACATCAACAAATGTTTTCCATTTTTAATGTTCATCTGAGCTACTCCTGCTTCTAAACTACTCATAAGAGAAGGGTCTGTAACCATTTCTGTCCCGTGGCCACCAGGATGGCATTTTCCATCTGAGCTTGCTGAGATGGCATTATCATTTCTGGATTCTAGAAGGGTACTGGGGCTCTCGGGAAAAGAGCCTGGCTCTTGGCCTAGTGCCTTCTTACTGTACATCATGCTCTCCAAGGACTCAGGCAGCAGGCTTTCATCATGGGTGATGGAAATGACATCCTGGACTTTAGAAATAAAGTTATCACAAGTCATGTCAGATAAGCTGCCCCCTGGTGGACCAAGACCATCTCTACCTTCTATTTTCACTAGGTTCTCGGGTTCATTTTCAAGGGACTCTGAAGTCCTGCTCAGCTGAGTATACGTAAGAGATTCATACAGTTTGGAATTGGTCTGGTAAAGACAGCAGACACTTTCTGGTGCCTGGGTGTCAGTTCTTTTATGCTGGGCATAGTTCCTGTAGGCATCCAGGAAGGACAGCTGGGGGTCGGTCATGATGTAGTAGTCAGTACGGCTGAGCCCGTGTCTGGCAGTGCCGATGAGCAGGTCCCGGTCGTGCTTCCCACACTCCCACCAGACGGGAAGGTAGAGGCTGGGCCTGCACAGCTGGAGGCGTTCATGCAGTTGAGGACACTTCAACACTTGCTCGCGAACCTTCCGTAACAGTTCAATGCGGTAGAGAGTCCTTGCAGCACGTTCCTCAGTGATGGGTTCAACATAGATGGTGGGGTCTGGGGGACCTACAAAGATAAATACAGAGCTTAGCACTTAAGGCATCTTTGGTCTGCTGAATCCCCTGGTTCCTTACCACACAACCTTAAGGAGGATGTGTCCTCTGTTAGAAATGGAAAGCTAGACAAGGGAAGGCTTTTATGAAATAAGGACAGATATGACGTAACTGTCCCGCATGGTCTTGTCTCATCGGGAACGTACTGATGGGAGAGCTTTCTCACCACTATCCTTCCATGCTGGCAGACGGCAGACATTGCGGCACATGGCCACAAAACTGTAAAAATAGTGTTCCAGGTTCTCATCGGACTTCTTGTCCAAACGGGAAATGATGCGGAACTGTGTCCAGTCAAAGGTTTTCTTTTCTTGATCATAAACAACACCAAAGGATGACACTGCTCTGTAGAAGTCTGCTTGCTCTCTCCTGGTCCACCTGAGGTTCAATCAGAAAGGCAGAGTGAGCTTAAAAAGATAAGTCAGCAACTACTTTGCTGAGCGCCTACTGGAGAGCCCACGAAGTGGAGAAGGCAGGTAGAGGCAGTCTGCTTGTTTCAGCAGTTACTGGTTTTATTTAAGTTAGAATAGGCTGAGAGGCTTACAGTGAAAATACCCTATCACCCTACCACATTCAAATCTTTCACTTCTTTCTTCTGGCATTTATTTGTCTATTTCAAATGTGTATATAATTGCTAACTCATGATTTTTCAATTTTAGAAATTACCTAATTTCTTCCTGTGGGAGATAAAGGTGTAAAAAATACTATATATTTAATAATTTGCCTTACTTTCCCCAGTAGAAGAACATAAAATCATAAAGTCCTGGAGGGACTTTTCAAACCTTGAGTTTACTCCCTTCATTTCACATTGAGGGAAGCGGCTCTCTCATGGCACATTTTCCCTGAATTGCTATCTCAACTTTGCTTTCTTTCTGGCTTCATTTCTTCAGGTCATCTCTACTAGTTATGTGGCCCACGATGCAAAACTCTAGTCTCTACATCTTGCAGAGCTGAGACGATGACTTAAGGGAGACAGACATAAATCACCAGTCTTTATGTGGGGCTCTGGGGCATGCTTCTCTCCCTCCGAGGGAATCAGGCTAGGAGTGAGGCAAGGGGGTCAATGGAAAAATGAAAAGCAGGGAAGAGGGGTTCTAGTTCTTCTCTTTGAACTGTGAAGGAAGGGAGGTATTTCCTGAACTGCCAAATCTCACAGAGCCAAAACAAGTACATAGAAGTAATTAAATCCAGTATATGAAGTTTTTCTTTCTTTCTTTCTTTCTTTCTTTTTAATTCACTAGGTATTTCATCAAAGGAATGGGAAATGCAAAGACTCAAGGAACTGCAGATCTGCTGATACTTCCTGGTGGCCACCACTCCTAGTCTTCCCTGGAATTCTCTAGCTATTTGTAGCGCAATTCTTAGATGGGCTCCTTTATTCTCAGCATGTGATGGTATTAATGCTGAAGTTTGACAAGGGTTGGTAGTTACATTAAGTTAGTCTCAATGCACTCTAGTCACTCTACTGCTAAGAGAGGCAAATACATGCCAGTGTGGTGTCTTTATACTTCATTCCTAGAGTCCAGGGTCCAATATAGGGAAGAAAGTCAAATTAGAAAACCATAAAGGCCTGGGATTTGTAACCAGAGGGTGTCCTAGAGCTCATCAAATGCCCCAGTCAGCATCACTTGGATGTTGGATTTAACTAACCCAACTGTACATGAGAACAATTCCCTCCAGCTATCAGCTAGACCTTTTTATTTGAAGTGGCTAGATATGCCTTTTTGGCCACTGGCTTTTACCTCTTCTGGGCTTCCTTGTTGATGAGATCCATTTCTGAGGTTCTCCTGAACATCTCATCCTGGACCCAGTATCCTTGGTTACTCGGTCCCAGAATTTCAGGTCGGCAGAGTTCCTTGCGATTGCAGCGCTGGTAAACCGTGACCAGACGTCTGAGACGAGCTGTGAGAGCCGATGAAACTGGCCAGGGTGATTTGTCTGGGTCAGAGCCATCCTGGGCTTCAAACATCAGTGAGGATATTAGTATTTACAAGCAGAACCAGAAAAAAAAAAAAAAAAGTGATGTTGTTATTTTTGCTGTTTGTTTTTAATAGAAACAAGGCTGATTCAATAGCCTAGTATTGCTGCTTATAACTGGTGCAGGAGATAGGCAGAGTTGCAAGGGCTGCCACTGTCATCTCACAAAAACAAATATGCCTAGTTCTGTGAAGGTCCAAATGACTGGAGGACACTGGGTAAGGAATCTGAACAAGCAGACGTGTGGCCTTCTCCATGTGCAACTATAAACTTTTGTGTAGCTGTGGCTTCCAAAGGCCAAAGTGTTCACTAAATTTGAATTCAGAAAGAAAAACTAAACCAAGTCACCCCCCCATCATAACTTTTTCCAAAAAGGAAAAAAAAAATCCCAAAAAACAAACAAAATGATTCAATGAAACCGTGATTTTTTTTTTTTAATCTCAGACTCCAGTCTAAGTTCAGGTATCATCATTTACATTACTTGTGCCTTTCAATGCCAGGGGAGGAAGGTTGTCAGAGCCACTTTCAAGTTCCCTGTGTGACTCCCAGAGAGAGTGACAGTCAACTTATTGGCTTTTTATAAAAGTGTCTTTAAAAAACACTACTTTTATTACATATGAACTCAAGGATAACTACAAACTGGGACCTTACTTTCTTTGCCTTCAGAAGGACAGTCTCACCTGCCCGGCTGTCATCCTTCTTTTCACCAAAAATGCCATCACCTCCATCACTGGAACTCTCCTGAGGATAAATGAAGCCATCTCATCAGCAAAACTGCAGCACAGAAGAGACCACCTCAGAAGCCCCTCCACAGAAAGAGCCGCCTTTTGCTCAGGAATACCTCAAAGGCCAAGCTGATCCCTGAGGAAGCTCACTTACTCGTGCCTTTGAAAGTCAGAAAGCAGTTTATGTAAAATAAGCATGATTCCACCTGTAGAGAATTACTTTAAGAAATGATGGACTGGCATCCTCTTAAGCTCACAGCGCTGTTTTAGCTGTGAGCTTGAGCTTAAATATTTGTTTTAGCATCATTGCTTGCAATTTAATACTGTCATTTCACAAAGGCTGTGCCTACATTTTTTTTTTTTTGGCTTTGAAGGTGTACCATGTTCATGCTCATTATAGCTAGCATACTTCACAGCAACAGACGCTATTTTCCTAAAACATGACTGCTCCAGTCATGAGGCCTGATGGAGTAAAGCCCCAGAAATTCACAAATTTAATATCATGATTTGAGGCTTCAAGCAAACCTGGAGTAATATCACGATAAGCTCCAACTGAGAGCTTACCCATGTTGGACTATCTGTCAAACTGGCTGTCATGGAACCAAGGTCTCAGGAGTGAACTTTTAAAGTTCCTTAGTGGAACCTATACAGCGATGTAAGCAAATGTTATTTCAGTGAAAAGCACCCCACTAGGACAGCTGCTATGAAAACAAACAAACAGAAATCTGAAAGACAACAAGGGGGCAAGGATACTGAAAGAATGTAACTCGTGTACTGTTGGCTAGACTGTAAAATGGAACAAGTGGCTACGGAAAACAGTACAGGGACTCCACAAATTATAAAGTGAATTTTACCTTTGGAGTCAGCAATCCCTTTCTGAGTATATACCCAGAAGATCTGAAAGGTTTCAAAGAGATATATATGTGTGCACCCGGGCTCCCAACAGCACGACTCACAACAGCGTAAGCATGGAAGCTGCCCAAGCATCCAACCACAGGTGAGTGACAGGGAAGCAAAGCAAGGCACATACATGGAACACATCATTCTGACATGTGCAATACAACATAAGGACTTTGAGGACATCACACTAGATGAAATAAGCCAATCACAAGGACACACACTATGGTCTCACACGCAAAGCCAGGAGTAGTCAAGATCACAGAAGGTAGACAGGTGTTGGGAGGGCTGCCCAGAATTGGGACTGGGGAGTCACTGCTTCATAGGAATAGAGTTTCAGCTCTGCAAGACGACTTGGGGTCTGTAAGTGGTGTTGTTGATGGTTTTCCATATGAATGATACAGTTAAAAACATAAATTTTATGTGTATTTACTGCCATAAAAAAGGGGAAAAATCTACATCTTAAGTTAAGACATGTAGGAGCTTGTGGGTGGAAGAAGAGATAGTACTAGTTTTCAAAAGGCCACCATTTTTTAGAAGAAAACATCACTTTCTGACTCTTATTTTGTCTGACCTAATGAAAGGAGGAAACCACCCAGCACCCACCCAGACGCAGAGGCAGACGAGAATAAGGGCCAGCTAATCACAGTCTGCGGATTGTTCTTATGTGGGCCTCAAGCTAGAAGCTGTTTTGACATTTTTAATGGTTTGAAACAAAAGGAGAAAAATATGCACCGAGACTAGTGGTGGTCCCCAAGTCTAAGATGTTTACTCTCTGATCCTTCAGAATATGACTGCTGCCTTCAGGATGTGATTACACAGCACAGCAAGCAGCAAACTAAAACATGAGGAGCTGACAGACACCACTGCCTCGATCCAGTTCACAAAAACAACTCTCTTGGGTTTAATATCATGAAAGGGCCTGAAAGAAGAAACTCTGAAAAGGTACACAAGACCGGGGTGCATTTTTGGAATGCATTTTTCTCCCAAGAGACCTAGCACAGCTAACGTCACAGCGAACTGCGTTACTCAGGCCATGTGTAGGACCCTCTCCATGGCTTGTTCAGTTATCAGAGTGGCCTCCCAGGAAGAAGCGGCCACTATCCTCACTTTACAGGCACAGAAAACAAGCCCTGGGGAGGCTTTGTCACTACCCAAGGTCACCAGGTTGGCTGGCTGCAGGGCTGGCTTTCAAACACAGGCAGTGTGATCTGAGAAGCCTGTTCCACTATTAACTTATGGGGAGGGAGGGGCAAGTCGAAAGAGCTGCTGAAGAGCTGTCCTGGGGGATGAGGCATGAACTGGGAATTGAAGAATACCAGCTTAACCTTCCTTCCTTGGCCCAAACAGTTTCTGCCCTCTAATATCAGAGAAGATGCAAACCCTCAGGCAGGTCTGCTCGTGCCATTTTGAAGCAGATGCCATCTTTTCTTACTATTCAGTAGTTCAAAAAAAAATAAGATAAAATGAACTGGCATGTTTCATAGTCTTTCCCGCCACAGATAACATTTTTTTTTAGCATCCTCACAGTATCCATATAGAGCCTTTGAAGTTGTAAACACAGCCACCTTTAGACTGAGAAATGCCCTAAGGCCTATAAAATGTGGGGGTAGGGCCCTGAAACTATGATGTTCCTTCTTACGAACAGGGGGTGTCACTACGTGCCACATCCACAGGGGTAGCTGCAAACTGGTGTGATGTGGACACACACACCTCAGGGTTCCCTTTCGGTCCACCTAACAATTTCTGCTGGTGTACAGTTAGCAAATGTGAGTGGCACCAAGTAAACTCTCAAATAAGGATTCTTGTACCACCAAGTGCCTGGCTCTGGACCCTGCCCTCTCTTGGGAGGGACTTCCTCTCTCTAGAAATAACAGATAGGAGAAGCCCGGTTTGCCCAAGAAGAGAGATGCCGTAACTTGAGCAAGCAGCCTGCAGAGAGAGTGTGATGTGCGATGCTGTGACAGACTGATCAGGGAGGCCAGACCTCTGTCAAGGAAGGGCCCTGAAGTTAGCACTCAGCACCTTAACTCTGCCTATGTGCATCAAATGAAGAAAGGTTTACCTTGGAAGAGGTATAAATCAATCTCTTCAGAGTGAAGGGTCCCAGAGAGTGCTGACAAGAAACATATCAAAACAAAGGCAAGTGGCTGTAAAACGCAATTTCTCCATGTTGAGGACACACGGGCTTGAGCCCGTGGGCCACTGCACTCTCTCGTAACTCCATTTGCAAAGTGGGGGTGATAATACCCTATACAGTGATAATGGGGCACAAATGAACAGACTATATAAAATACTTAACCAAACTACAAAGCCAATGCCGAACAGATGGCAGCCTTGATGAGGAAATACTAATAAACTATGCCAGCCACTAAATAACTACTCAACACTTCCACCTTTCAACTGAAATGTGTACTCTAAAGGAGACTTTATAATATAATAGAACAGCAACAAAGATAACAACGAAGGTCTGTTGAAACCCAGGTAGTAAGCGGCCAGATACTGTACTGAATCCTTTACAAGCATTCAGGCAGGAGGAAACTGCCAAGGGGAGGTGGATAACATCCAGGATTGCAGTTATCAAGTGGTAAAGAGGGAACTCAAACCCAGAAGGTCTGACTCCAGAGGGTGCGCAGTCAATGGCCCAGCGTTGCTCCTGGTGGGGAATTCACACTGGGGAGATTCAAAGCCACTGCCAGTAACCAACGGTAACACAAGTCCATACTGGGTTCCTTCTCCATGGAGTGTGGGGCCGTGTCCTTATCCGAATACAGACAGTCCCGTCTGCCAAGCGTGTGGCTGGCTGCTCCTTTGGTCCTGGCTGCCTTTCCCTGCTAGAAGTGGTGGCAGAGGAAACACAGACCTGCTGGACCTTCAGACTCGAATTTCCTTTTCCTAAGGGCCAATGAGACAGGTGATGAACTGTCATCTTACACTTAGGGAACTTGTCCCTTGAATGTCAGGAACTTGTCAGGCTCGGTGGCTTCAAAAGTCAAAGAGACAGAACCTTGCACCTGGTGGCTGTAAGAGACATAAATACTGGCCACACAGAGTGATTGATGTGTTCCTCAACACAGTGGGAAAGCAAAAATGTTACTAACTCAGAGGAAGGCCAATTAACGGGTGACTTCCGAGCTTCATATTGAAGGAGTAGCTGGTTTCCCTCTTCTCTGGGTGCCAAGTGGAATGTTTCCCTACCAACACCCTCTAAAATGTCCTAGCACACAGCAGTCCTCCTTCGGGTCTGCAGAAACGCTCTTACCCTCAACTACACCTAAGCACTAGCAGAGCTCAGCTGTCGACAGAGCAGAGTTTGGTGTAAGCTTCGGATGGTGAAGCCTCCCACCCCAGGACTGTATGTCCTGTACCTCAATATCTAATGCTTTAAATGGCTATTTTGGCTGTGTAAGTTAAGACCTTGAATGTGATTTACTTGTATGACCTTAAAAGGAATAAAACTTTTCTGCTGATAAGAGAAAAAATACATTGAAGGAGTTCTCAATAACATATCACTGCGTAGAGGAAACAGAGTGGACACAAGTAGAACTTAAAAGATCCCTTGACAGTTTTCATTTCCCAGGAAAATCAAGTACTCCTGTATAAGCTTCATGTAGAAAATGGAGGCAAGTCAAATGTCATTCACATAAAACTCAATGACTTAATTATGGAAAGGTCACAGGATTTAGATAAACATTTGAGCAGGGGAATCACTGTCCTTGTGTGCTCTAGCTGCAGGACTGTTTCTGCAGCTGACTAGAACTATGCTTCCTCTCCTCTAGAATGGGGATAAGGCTATTCCCTAGTGGAGGGCAAAGTGCATTTAGTCAGGTTGGAAGTACTCAAATTTAAATATTACTGTTTTGAGTCCAGAGACGCTTTAAGCACTTAATTCATAAGAAATGTGTAGCTGTTCAGTGCCTAAGCAAATTCTTCTTACAGTTGGATTTGATCCTTTAAGGCTCCAAGTTTCCCTGTGAGAGTGCATGTGAGCTCCTCCTGCACGTGACATCACCCTCCAGGGTGATCTCCTGTTCCCAAGAGTGCCTAGAGCCTGGAGCCCGATGACTGCAGAGGGGCGGGGTCCTTAACATCACCATTTCTGTTAAAAGAGAAGTAATCTCTCTCTGTACTAGGTCTGACAAAGATTTTTTTTATAATTCTAGGTTCCAGAGTATTCCAAATACAAATAAACTTTTAAACTACCTGCTTCAGAAGGTCTCTGTAGATTCACTGATTCTACAGTACACCTGAAATCTCTTAATTCTTTGCCAATCAAAGTTCTGTTGGTATCAAAACTTAGAGAGGGTGGGGAGGAGGGAGGAGATTCTCCCAAATACCCCTTCTAACTTACATTCTCTGAATGTCACAGATTGACAAGACATAAAGAATAGCAGAAGAACTTAGGATATTTCACCTGAAGAGATTTAGAGAGAATAAACTTGCCTAAAGAATTAAAAATTCTATCAGAGAAGAACAATTTTGTTCTTGGTAGACAGACCAACAGAAGCTGGATTTATGAATCAGAGTAAGTGTCACCCAACAGCTAAAGAGGCTTTTCTGGGATGAACACATTTCTCTTTATCCCATGGATCCTGGAAATACCTAAACCTACTGGAATGCCCTGACAGCAATGCTAGTCAGGAAATGGCACTCCGAGAGACTGCCAGAAGGGATGTTGGGGCTCCTTGCTGTGCTGATCTGCCGACATACTGTTTCCCTTCCTATGCCCAAGTGTGATGAATTCTTTAACCTACCTGATCTCCCCGAGAACACAAGCGGGAGAAGGAAACCCCTAATTGGCGCCTTCAGTGCAGGAAGTTACTGGGGGTAGGGAAGGATGGTAGGACTGTGTGGTACAACAGGCCTCACTGAGATGTTGGTTGTTCTCGACTTTATTTTAGCATGTGCATTTGAAGTCAAGCTTAGTCAAGCTTAATCAATTTATAATATGTCTATCTCAAAAGGGGGAGCAGCCACTCCCCATTCCATCTGCTTTTGATTATTTTTTATAGCCCATATTGCAGAGTTTTGAAGAACAAAATAAATAAAGGCATTAATTCTGTAATGGATAATAAAGTAGTTCCAGAAGCTACATTTAAAGCAGTTCCAGAAGCTAAGTTTAACCGTATGAAGAAACATAATTCCTATATGGTAACTTAAGTTACTTTTATTGATTCTGCCACAACCCTTTCAGTGCCCAGATCTCTCCCAAATCGAAGACTGACTGACTGACTAACAAGCCTGTAAAGCTTAATGTGAACAGCTTCACAGGCCTGCCTTGCTGCTGGTCTGGTGGCTGCCTTCTCACAGAAGCTGCTGCTGGGAAGAAGCAGCATCTATATATTGCTGAAAGACTTTCTAGTTTCTTGACTATGAAAAAAATACTTGATTAAGAAAAACAATACCAACTAGCTAGGGAGTAGTTACTCAATTCTGTCAGTGGTGAAATTTTTGCAAACTCTTAATCTCCTTGGACCTAAATTTCCTCGTGACAACGAGGGCACTGACATGTGAAGTGCTTACTTCACACAGCGAAGGGGTAGGTCAAATTAAACAAGTGGAGAGTGCTGGGCAGAGTAAAGTTCCTTATAAGGTATTCATGTAATTTCTTTGCTACTTGAGTTGTGTCTATCAGAAACACAGTCCAAATTCCAAACAACAAGCTTGGGACTGGAATAGTAAGACCTGAATTTTAATTGCTGACATCAGAACCCAAGTCCAGGATGTGAAGCTTCATGCTGATTTGGTTCATTATGCTGCTTCTTAAACCCGAGATAAGAAAATAATTATTTCTTACTTTGGAAAAGTAATGTCATTACTACTGTTACAGGAAATCAAAGATGATGAAAGTTAAAGTAACTGGAAGCAAAAGAATCGTCACTTCTGGGTGGTGATAAGGAGGAGAGGAGAGATTATTGTGGGATGGAGTCAGTTGTCACAGTAACCTCTGGAACTCAAAACCCATGAAATTCTAACCGGCTCACTGACTCTACCACTCAAAGCCAGAGGATATGTGACAAAATGGTTCTGGGACTATAGTAAGGTTTCAGTCTTATATGCAAAGTCCCAGAAACTATTTTATAATGTCCAATGCAGACTTGGAGGCACAAGGAAAATACGTATTACCTTATTCTTCAAAGTACAACTAAAATCCCTAGACATTACATGTATAAAACAACCACAACTAAAAAAGGAGAAGAAAAGATGGACAAGCTGGGACCCAAGGAACAACATGACAGTAAGTTCCCTGTTTTTTTTTTTGGCCATATACATTCTAGATTTGGAGCCAAAGAAGCTGGCTACCTGGAAAGGTAAAGGCAAAACAAAAAAGCACCAACACCAGTCTGTTAGCTCTAGCAAAGACAAGGAAAGGACACAACATGTTAATACAATACCCACTACACTTCACCTGAAACTGTGGCTCTCCACTTCCATTCCAGCAAGTGAAGTGGGGAGCCTTTGTCAGGCTCTAACAAGACACCCATTCTCCTGCTGGGGTGTGAGAAAAAGTCAAGTGGGGTACCAGAATTGTCTCCCTGATAGGTAATAAGGTTCCCCACTTGTGAGTCAGCACAGGAAGCATGGGAATAGAACCTCTGTTCCTGCCAACAGTAATGAGAAACACCTGCTCTACTCCCACCTGTAGTGCTAAGTTCCACCTCCAGGTAGTCAGCTGTACAGAAAGTTTAAGTGAGCTCTAGATTTTCATAATGCCCAAATGTCCAGGAATCAATTAAAAAAAATCACTCATAAGACCAAGAACCAGGAAGATCTCAAACTGAGTGAAGAAAAGACAATTAACAGATGCTAACACTGGGATGACAGAGTTCAGAATTATCTGACACAAGAATTTAAAGTAGTCATCAGTGAGCAATTCTAGACATGTATACACAAATGAAAAAACAAAGTTTTAGCAAGTTAATACTGATCCAGAGAAGAACCAAGGGGAAATTTTAGGTTTGAAAAAAACGTAACAGCCAAAAAACAAAAGAACTTTCATGGCCAAGCTCAAGAGCAGAATGGAGGACAAAGAGAAAATAGTCAGTGAACTTGGAAATAGAAGAGAAGGAACTAGCCAATCTGAACAAGAGAGAAACAAAATACGGGAGGCGATGTCTTAGCACTGTGCTCCTGAACTGCACCTCTCCCGGCCCTCTGTTAGAGACGACATGCCTCACTGGACTGCAACAAAAGAATAATCCTACAGATTCAAGATGCTGAGCAAACTACAAAAAGGCAGATTTCAAAAAAAATCCACAGAAGAGTACCATAGTTAAAACTCTGAAAACTAAAGGCGATGAAAAAAATCTTGAAAGTACCAAGAGAGAAAAGATACCTTAGAGGAAAAACAATAGTGAATAAGACTGTGTGCTGTTGGCAAAGACAATGGAGCAGAACAGAGATCCTAGAATAGTCACACGAGTATGCCCAACTAATTTTCAACATCGATGCAAAAGCAATTCAAAGGAGGAAAGACAACTTCAAACAAGTGTTTCTAGAGCAATTAGGCTAAAAAAAAAAGATCCTCAATCTAACTCTCCCCAGTTGTATGAAAGTTAACTTAAAATAAACCTTAAGACCTAAATGTAGAGCTGTAAAACTTTTAGGGAAAAAAAGCAACAAAAGAAAATCTTTTGGCAGATACCCCTAGACAGAGATAATCCATAAAAAATTTGTAAGAGATCCACAGAAAGAACAACTGAGTATTAATTCATCAAATAAAAAACTTTTGTTCTATAAAAGACAATGTAAATAGGGTAAAAAGACAAACTACAGGGTAGAGAATATCTGCAAACCATGTATCTGACCAGACTAGAATCTGAGCTAGTAAAGAACTCTCAAAATCAATAGTAAAAAGAGAAAATGGTACAATTACAAAATGGGCAAAAGACATCAGTCACTTTAGTGAAGAAGACAGACATGGCAACGAGCACACAGTAAGATGCTCAACATTTTCGGAGTCAGGACAATGCACAGATTCACTGCATACTCATCACAACGGCTCAGCTACGAAAAACAGTGCCAACAGCAGAAGCAGGAGGATGATGAGGGCATGGAATCACTCAGGCACTGCTGGCAAGAGTGGAAAGTAGGACAGCCATGCTGGAAACTAGCTTCCAGTTTCTGAAAAAAGCTAACCATGTAGCAGCTGTATGCCTGAGTATTTATCCCAGAAAAGTGAACTCGTATATTCACACAAAATTTTAATGCAAATGAGTATAGAGGCATTTGTAACAAACAGAAGCGGAAACAACCTGGACGCTCTTTGGCAGTGACGGTGAAGTAAACTGTGGCTCCACACCATGGCGCACTAAAAAGGGTCAGATTATTATCACAGTGACACCCCGGAGCAGTTCCCAAGGAGTTACACCGAGAGGAAAAAACCCAATTCCCAAGGATTACATTTTACAAGATTTCACTTATGTAACTGTCTTAAAACAACAACATTACAAAAATTAATGGGTTCGTGGTTGTCAGGTATTAAACAGGATGTGAAGGCAGGAAGGAGGGGAGACTGTGGCTGTAAAACTCCAGGGGTCTTTATGATCAAGGAAGAAAATGTACCTTGTACCTTGACTCTATCAATGTTAGCATCACTGTGATACACATACAAAACTGTTGGGGAAAATGCAATGTCATAATGTAATCAAGTTCCCCAAGATAAGGATTTTTTTCTTGACATCAAAGACCTTGTGTATTACCAATACGGTAAATCTGGCTCACCATTTGTTTCTGGAGGCCATCTATTTTGTCTTCAGCATTGTCTTCTTTATCCATGTGGACTCTAGAATTAAAAAAAAAAAAAAAAAAAAAAAGAAAAAAAAAAAGGCAAAAGCATCACATACTACCTAAAAGCTGCTTTGGAAACAGGATGAACATCCCCACACTCAAGTTGGCATTAAAAGACCCTTTTCTCCACAGTTCTCATCTTGGTTTTCCCAGGGTTATCACTTCTTTCTGTGGGTAAGTGCCTCCCTCCAGAGATGTGAGCTTGAAACTCATGACCTGCTTGGGTAAGTTCAGAGGCTCATCAACAGTGACACTGCCAGAAAAAAGGTAACTACTGTCCATCAAGAGTTACCTGAATATGTGGTTTTGATAAAAGAATAGACTTGAGAGACTGAAATTAGCAAACCAAGTTAGTCCTCAGACCACACAGAATCACTGACATTTGGCAAGAGTCACTTCTTGGAAGGGAACTCCGAAGTGACTGCTCAGAGGGAAGGCAGCTCTCCCATTACCACCAGACACCTGCTTAGGTGAGCTGCCGTACACCTTCTCATGAGCTTGGCTGTTGCTGATGCTAATCCAGTTTTCATGATTCCGTTATAGACTGACTTAAGGATTTCTATTTAAAGTCATTTCATCTTGCTGCTCAGATCCTGGAGACAGGAGAAACTGCTACCTTTACTTCTTAAACCACAGAAAAGAATCCATCCCACGGTAATATACACAATACACTCTGAGACCTGACCCGGGACTTATACTGTAGTATTGCCAGTTACTTGGACATTAGTTAACATCTCCTGGAATACATCTTTACTATGTGCATACACAAAACTCCTCTGGGACAGAGAACCTTAAGGTAACTCAAGTGCTCACTAGGGGTTAAGAACAGGGCGAAGAGGCATTCACCCTTCTTTGGTCTTGGCAAATGTTCTGGCAGTGCCACGCCCTCATGCACAACCCTGGCCACAGTCCTGGACAATGGGAAGCAATTTCTGCTACTTCTGGGAAGAACACTGAGCCAGAAGCTTACCAAGCACAAGCCAAGGGACACAGCTTGTATTTTCCAAATATATATATATATTTTGGAGGGCCAGTTTTTGGCTCTTTGTTTAGTTTCTACATTTGGGGGTGATGAGAATAAAAAATAAAACTCAAAAATATCCTTCTATACTTGCTCGTAAACTGCCTGTGGACAAAGTCTAAATGCCACTGCTATAAAGAACAGCTCTTAATCTATCTTACTCATGGACTGTGCAATCCTTAAATGATGTTGAAATTTCACCTGAAGAATTTCAAGGTAAGGAACTCTGTACTTGTCATGTGTCATCTTAACTTTCTACCAAGTAGAAGAGGTCTGAATTTTTCCTTGAGAATCCTCTGACCAGACAAGAAAAGCCTGGCTGAGGAGCAGGGCAGGATGGTAGACATCGTGGGAACCCACGAAGGACAGAAATTTGGTATTTGGTTTAAAGCACTTTGAAGTTTAAAAAAATAGAGGTCTGGGGCACATTAGGATGTAACCAAAGCAGCAATCTGGGAAGGTAATTCCAGCAGGAGATGGCTTAAAGGGACGTCAGACTGAGAGGAAGAGGCCATGGAGAGCTGCATCTCGTGAAGGGGCTATGGCTCATGGGACAGAATGTCACCTCCTGGGGTTGGCCCACGCAGCTCCTCACCTTTCAGGAACTTCTGAGGCCCCGTCCGTGGTGCCCTGTTCTGCAGAAAGGGACTTCTCATCTGGCATCCCGACTTTCTCCAGGAAGCAAAGTGCCGGGTCTGCTCGCATGGCATTGTACCTCTCATACCCTGATCGGGGTAATGAGAAGTGTCAGAAGTCACAAAATCTGCCTTGGGCCCAATAGTCATTTTGCTTCCCTTACTGAGTAAGAAAAGAAACCAAACAAAAATACTTAAGATTAATCAGATCCTGTAAGATTTCCTATCAGGGAAAACCCTGTAGTAAGACACCACTAGTTTGTTCTTGATGCAAAAGAAAATCTCGTGCAAGCAGTCTGTGTCCATCCAGAGACACAGATACATAGGCAATTCTCACTTACTCATTTCTTTTGGACAGTAAAGAGAACCAGGAATGCTGAATTCAACACGCCTTTCCCCTACTTCCCAACTCCTGACACTTTGTTACTTCCTGAGTGGGTACTGCTTTTTTATATTTACTTTAATCCCATGTGTTAGAAAGGAAAGTGAACAGAGGGATGACTTCAAGGGGTAAAAGAGAAAGAAGTCTACTGGGAGAGCTGGATTAAAATGAATGTACTGTTACTGCATCCTCAAACTCAGTATGAAATCCTGATCCACAGGCCTGGGATTTGGAATTGCCCTTCAACACATCCCCAAAGTCAACAACAGATGGGGCATCTCTGAAACAGAGGAGAGACCACAAAAGGTGCAAATAATGAAAATATCTCACTTTTAATTTTAAAAATCTCAAGTGAAGCAATACATACTTCTTTTGGGAAAAGACTGGGCTGTAAGCTAAGGGACATTTATTCTATTTTCCAAATGTGTATTTTTTTCACTGGTATTATTGTAGAATCGAATGTAATCTTACAAGGCAGGATCTTGTAAATCATCCAAATCTATTTTTATGTCATACTACCTTGGGCAAGCTCCTTAACGATTATGAAAACCCCTTCCATGCTGCCATCATTAAACCATGCCAATTTCCTGCTCTGTAGCATGCACAGAGAGACCTGTCACCAGTGATGGAAGCTGCTGCAGGAGCAGTCTGGCTCTCGTCACCGGCTTGACTCTGCTGGCTGGTTTAGTACTCTACTGGTTTTTATTCTAACATCACGCCGATGCAGTTCACTCCTTTACCCTGTGAAGGAGCATGTGGTATTTTCTGTCCAGAGAGCTACTTTAATTCAAAGTGACTCTACCACCATCTCCATGACCGGAGCTGCATGCATGGAGCACATGGCAGTGCCTATGTTCTGCTTCATTCGTGATTATTTGATCACTGCAATGAGGCGACAGGTTCCCCATGAATAGAACCTGTGTCTGCTTTTACTCACCATTTCATGTTCAGTACCTGGCATAGGCTGGACACCATACAGATTTGACAACTGACTGACTGAGTCAGTTCTGCCCAGTTCTTCCAGTATCATTGTAGGAAGAAGTTTTATCCTCCCCCAATGCTGTCTCAGTGCACATCAAATCTGAAATTTCCTCAATGTTCCTGCTTTCTTGAGATAACTTCTGCTGTTGCTTCCACCTATTATTCCTCATGAAGAGAGCTCATCATAGCTGATATGGTGAAAGTTTCTTTGATGGATCCTTTACTATTAGTGAGGCTAAGCATCCATTATGCCCTGCCCTCATTTGCTATGTCTGACAAGGCATGGAGCAGGCTGGGTTCCTCCACATGCCTGCTACCTGGTACATTTCCACTCCTCAGATTTAAATGCCTGAAATGTGTGTGTCTGAAGTCTAGACAGGTCTGTCTTTCTCACTCAGCTATGGGTCTGGAGGTGAGGAAGAGTGATTGGTTTAGTTACCTAGAAAGTACTGTGAAGAAATAAGCAGTAAAATGGGGGTGTAAGCTGCTTATCTCTTCACTTAGTATAAATGTTCCAAAGAAAAAGGCTAGAAATACTGAAACTCATATCTATATGAAAATTTCATAAATGCAATTGCCCTACAGGGGTGACAGTCATTCAGTACAACTGAGAGCTGTCAAGAGTATTATTCCGAACAGGTTTGTTATAGGGCCTTCTTGCTACCAGTTGAAGCCCCAAAGATGAAGCCAATTCTTTCAAGTGGGTCAACTCAGAGATGGAACCACTGCTATATATTTTTTGATTTAAGCAGCTTTGTGGCAGACCATGTCTGAGATAGATAAGAAGATCCACAAAACCTAAGGCAATCAACAGCTGTGTGTCATATAACCAGGAAAATCATTGCAGCACTAGAGCACATACTGATGTCTCTAAGGCATGGAAGAAAGAGAGGGGGCTTCCTGATAGATTCAGGCAGGATCTGTTTGCACTTGGAAGACTCCAAGAAAGACAGATTGAAGAGGTTAACTACAGGAATCTGTCCAATCTAGTCTATGTTGACTCCCAATGTTACTATCCAACTACCCTGGTCGCACACTACCCAAGAGTGAGCCAGTCTGCAGGTGTGGCTTAGTGCTGTCCCCAAGCACTGGGTACAGAGGCTGGGTTTCCCTCATCGTTATAGCCTTCATTCTGGTTGTTCAAGAATTTCACTTGCAGACATGTGTTAAAGGTAAATCTTCCAAAGGCACAGCAACAAGTCAAGTAGAACAGAAAGTGAATAGCATCAAGCACAATTCTAAGCCGTCTATGTATGGTATCTCGTTTAATTTTCAAACAAACTTTCAGGCAGGTTGTTTTGATACTATTCTCCCCCATGGTATAGGTGAGGAAAATTGTAATTTTATGATGTGAGTAAAGTGACAGAGCTGACAGCAAGAGACAGATATACTTAATTTTTCTTTAAACCTTAATCTACAGTTGAGGACTTACTAATTTACTTGGCAGGAAAGGCATGCATCAGCCACTCCACAGTGACTTTCATCTGGCCCTTTATTATTAACTTTTTAAAAAGATTTATTTATTTATGCATATAAGAACTGGGGTACAGGCCAGAGATGTGCACGCGCGCGCATGTTTGTGTGTATGAAAGAGAGAGAGAGAGAGGGAAGAGAGAGAGAGCGAGAGAGAGTGAGAGTGAGAGAGAGAGAGAGAGAGAGAGAGAGAGAGAGAGAGAGAGAGGATTCACCAGAGACAGAGTAGGGAGCAGAACAGGCAGACTGACTGAAATACACTGCTGAGGGGAGCGGGATCGAACTCATGCTGCAGTGGCTTTGGATAGCTTCATCGTGCTGTGCTTTAACCCGTTGTGCCACCAGGGAGGGACCTCATTATTAATTTTAATAGGCGGCTTAAAGCACGGGAAGGGTTTTAGAACAGAGATAGATGTGAAGAAAATGGGCACTTTTAAGTTTTCCCACTACTCAAGAACATGTGAGTCCTCTTTACTGTCTTTGTTACTATTGTGAAAACAAATCAACCAATCCTTTGCTCTATCTTCTATCCTTAAATTTTTATAACAATCGGGCAGAAGATGCACACTAAAATAACCTCAGCATTATATCTACATGAAATGCTAAAACCTAACATCATTCCCATTATTTCTTCACTCAGGAAACGCTGGCGCCAACTGTGCAGCAGGCACTACAACAGATGCTGGGCCTGTGAGGGTGCAGGAGGCCTGGGCCCCCCTCCAAGACAGGCCACAAGGAGACACAAACTGAACAAGTTCTTTGCAGCCAGTTACTCTCCCTTATGAAGTTCCTCAATGACATTAGCTTTTATCACATTTTCATGACTACCATATTCATCTGGGCAAAATTCTGAGAGGGCAGAGGTGAGGCCCTACTTTTTAACAAACAAGCAACACAATTATGGAGATTTCAGGAAAGAAAAAAAGAAGGAATTACACACCATGTTTGAACACACCAACGAGAAGGGATTTATCGGCCTCAGCATCCCACCAATCCACCGGGATCTCCACATAGTCAATGTCCGGCAGAGGCACTTCCAGCTCCCTATGAGAGGAAAGGCATGGACTCAGTTTCTTCAACATAGAAGACACGTAAGAGCTACTGCTCAAACCCTCTAGCTACTGTGTCAAGCTGCAGCCCGCACTGCACACTGAGTGCTGAAACAACAAGTGAAAGGACGCAGAGTACTGGGGCAGGACTCTGAGCACCCAGTGAATTCCTCAGATGTGCCCACCTCCAGGCTGCACCACAGACTGACTGGCACAAACTTCTGAAGCACCTCTTGGAGAATTCACTGCCAGTCAGTCTGGGTGCGGCCTTCGGATCTATTGCATAAAGTAGCTCTGATGTGCATCTTCAGTTAAGAACTCAACCAAAACCATCAAAATATTCATTATTTAAAGCTGAAATACCTCCCGAATGACTGAATTCACACTTGATCAAATGTCGAACAATGTTCAAATTACCTTGGCTCAACATGTAGAGCTCTCAGGCACTGAGAACAAGACCACTTGCCATGGCACATGTGGTGCTTTGCAGAGGACAGGCGGTACTGCCCAACACTGGTCTGCTAATGGTGTGCGGGGTCACAAATGACACAAACTGTGTTACTCCTGGCCAGAGAGTGGAACACCACGTTCCCTGGTGAGTGAACATGCTGGGATTGACTGGCAGGCTTGTGCCAGCAGCCCTGGTATGAGTTTCTGTTTAAGTTCAAGAGCTCACATCAATCCCTAACACACTGTCTGACCATAACCCTTCCTTTTTGAATGCTCTAGGGGAGAACACTGACCAAGATGGCCCTTCTCCCTCACCACCCAGCTGCCGAGGATGATTTCTCTACAGCATTTCAACTTTCTTCTTTAATTAGGCTCTTCTGTGACACAGAGCTAACTACCCTTTGCCAGGCCCAGCCACCTCTGTGCAGGAGTTGCCAGGCAGCACTCCCTACCTGGCTTCCCAATGGGACTCACTGCAATGACTTTTCTTGGATGAGTTGTTACTCATTCCTCATGGCAGCTTCTCCACAATTTAGTGTTAAGACCCAACAGGACTAGTAAGAGCAAGAATGAGGAGAAGGAAGAAGGCACACAACTGACTAACCCTCTCCAAGTTCTACCTAGTTTTCATCCAGCTACAGTTCCTACCAGGTAACAGGTTGAATTCAACCAGTATTTCAGATTTTAAGTAGTACAGCATTCAGACTCACATTTATACAACTTGAACCAAAACACTCAGCCTCTCAATCCCTTGTAGAAATGACCACATTAACTACAGAAAGCACAGCAACCACAGTCACTGCGATGATTGATCATCATGCTGCCACTTCACCTCTTTTCTCAGGGCTCCCATGCCATAAGAGCCATTAGCATCATCCAATGGAAAGAAAGAGAAGAAACCAGGATCCCAGGTAATCTCAAAGCAAAGTTCAAATGCTAACACTTCTGGTGTCCTCTGGGAATGACAGACACTATAGGGACAGAGCAAATTACAGACCTGGGGAAGATGAAAGAGGCTGCCTGGCAATGCCACCTATAAACAGTGACTACCTGACAGCCTGATCAGTAGTAGCTCATTTCTATAGAAGTGGAAATACTAAGCTATAAAACTAAGGTGAAACCAGTCAAACAGGCCACAAGGTATTATGTATTAATAATCAGATTATTAAATAAAAGAGGACCATTCAAATGTAAAAGAGCACCAGGGCCAAGGATGGGATTCTGAGTAATACTTCTACCAGTCTATGCCTGTCAGCATATTGTATCAAAAGTATGAAGTGTGTCAAAGTAATTAAGATTCATCTCACCATGACTAGTGAAAGTAGAGAAATTGTTGTTTTAAAAGCAATGTTACACTTTGGGGGAGAAAAAACTAACCGAAAAAAACCTTATTAAGAGCTGTGTTTCTACTACTGTTTTCTTCTTTATTGCACTACAGGGAGACATGGTTGAACCATCCTCACTCTACCATCTACGATCCTGAGTGGGATCACCGGCCTCTTGGGGTGCAGGCAGGCTTGTCTACTTCCATGCACAGTACTTTCTGGCAAGTCTCAGTGACTAAGCGCTGAGGTTTTACCTGGCAGGAGTTCCCTCAAATGCTTTATCAGCTGCTTCTCCCAGTATCTCAGCTTTTAAGTAGTACAGCATTCGGACTCGCAAAAGCACCCTATAAAAAGTAGACACATTAATGAAGACACATTAGAACCCATAAGCTGTCAAGAACAGCCACCCCCAAGTTGACCCAGGGAAATTCTGGGTTCATTATTTATACAAAGCAATATATGAGAAACACCAGACAAACAAGGAGTTAGGTATCGATGGCAGACACGATAGTGGTCACCCCAGTTTTACACAAGGAAATGCATCTTATCATCATTTGTTGGTTCCCTGTGAGTTCCAGGGAGCAGCAGAAACAGAGCGCTCCTGAGCCCTGAAGAAGTGCTCACCCCTTCCTTTCTAGGTGCCCAAGACGCCAGGTGACAACTCACTAGTCAGTTGACAAGTGAGCTTTCGCATGGTTCCATTTGTACATAGTAAATGAGTATTTAAAAAAAACCTTTTTCTGGCGATACTGCCAGAGTGATCCAATTTTCTCTCCTGAGGTGCTCAAATTACTGTCATTTTACATGGAACACACTCAGGTAGCATGGAAAGCACCAGATATTTTGAGACAAAGCAACAAAGTTATTTGTTGGGCAACTATCATGTGTCCTGACTGTGGCTGGTCACTGCGAGGTGAACAAAATAAACGTTTAACCCTGTTCATAAGGAGCCTGAGACACTAACTCCGAGATGAGATCAACCATTAAGATGATACAGAAGATGACAGTAGGGGTCAAGGAGAGGGAAGGCTCAGTGATGTAAAGTCAAGGTCAAGCAAGGGCAGGCCGAGAAGCTGCCCATATTCAAAAGGTGCTGCCTGTCCAAAGCTAAGTTGCAAAAAGGTTTAGAAAGAGTACTTCTAACTTGATCAATACCAATCAAGTGCAATGCCTACCCATTACAGATAAAAGCCCATCTGCAGATAACTACACAGGGAGTGATCGCCGCACCAGCTGTTTCAGAGAGCGCACTGCCAGTAGGTCCTATATATACAATCTCAGGGCAGCTAAAGGAGGCTCGACAGTCACATGCAGAGTACCTCCGGAAGAACCAGGGTCAACTGAGATTGCCTCTAGAGACGGAAGAAGGGGAGCTGAAGTAGGAGGAAATCTTAATTTTAACAAAAATTAAAAAAACAAAACCCCAATGTATCACTTATTCAAAAGATATGAATGATAGAGGGCTGAGCCTCTAAGAAAGCATAATTTCTTAGATCAGGGTAGAAAAGGTGACTGAAGGTTCAAGTTGTAGGTGGCAACACAAAGTTAGAACTTTTAGATGGGAAAGATCCTTACTGCGTTGGTATTCTACCACTCTACCCCAGCTGTCTCAAGGAATTTTGAGGTTTTTTTACCCCCTTCTTAAATGTTAGATAAAGAAAACCCTAAGAATCTACAACCGTTTCTGGTTGTAGTAACTGGCTGGCAGTAACTGATGGCCTCCTTCATAAAAACTGCAATGTCAGGTACAGAATTCCTACCTGCTCAGATCTAGAGCAGTCAGAGTAAGTCTTTCCTGAAGATATAAGACAGAGCTGTTTTGTGTAAAGAGAGGTAAAAGTGCCAACATGTGGCAGTACCTCTATATGAGAGAACATAATGTTAAGTGTTCCCTCATTCCCTAAGTAAGAGTCAATTTATAGGACAGATGGATAATGCCTCAGAGCCACCTCCTCCCAAGGCTGGAGCACCATCTCCAAGAATGCGATGATGACCCTTGCTGGCATCTGAGCTCCAAGGGAAGAAGAGCCAGATTACACTGGCCAAACACGACCCATAAATAATCTGGGTGGTAGTATTGCTTCTTCTTTCATCTTTAAAAAAAAAAAAAAAGTTCTGTTAATATGAAATATACTTCACAAAGTACACACTGCATAAACATACAGACTGATGAATGTCTACAAACTGAACATACATGGGTATCTGGCAGGAAGCAAAACATTTCCAAAGGCTCCTGGTATCCCCTTTCCAGTCATAACCAGCACTCCCAAATAGATCCTCACCTCCCTGACTTCTAATAGCTGAAGATTTGAAGCAGATGCTTTTTGAAGACACTTTACTTCCCTAAATGCTACATGCTAAGAACAAATAATGCTTTAGTACTTACTATGTGCCAGATTAGTATTTGTTCACTAAATTCTTCATAATAATGCTGAGGTACGAAATACTAGCATCCTCATTTTCTAGATGAAGGAAAGAAGGTACCTGTTGATAATGGAGCCAGAATTTAAATCCAAGCAGTCCTAACTCCACAGAATCTCTGTTAACACCTGATCTGATACTGGAGTGGCCGTGAATTTGCTAATTAACAGCACGATTCTAAAAGATCACAGTTCTGGTATGCTGAAGCAATTCTGGCCCATTCTCCACTGTACCTCAGACAGAACTGGGACCCAAGGTCAAAGAGAAGAAGTTTCAAGATTTTAGATTCAAGTTATAGATGTTCAATAAATTCAATGAGACTTGCTGAGGAAAAGTGAACTACCAACACTAGGAAGGCTCAAACAGAGGCCAGGTAACTCCTCCCAGGTCCCTGCCCACAGCATCTCTCACTGAGCAGGGGAGCTGTGAGGTCCCTGTTGGCTCTGAGTCTCTGGCTCATGGTGAACCAGAAACAGAGAGGTTAGTAGTCTCCATCCGATGCAGCATAATAAGCAACAGTCAGCATATCCAGACTCGAGTGTCCTATCGTATTATTCTTTGACTCCCTGGCCCCAGTGAGCACTCAGGTCTTGGTGGTAGAAAGGCTAAGGAGTGCCCCAGACGTCAACATTTGGTCCTGACCATCATCTGTGATCATCTCGAAGGTGTCAAGGGAAGTTCTGTCAACCTTTCCAGCTCAACTTATTTTCAGTGCTCCAGTCCCAAATCTGCAGCAGTGGGACAGCCAAATGCTGTTGCTCTCACTCAACAAGGCAACAAGTCTTCCGTTTTGTTCTTCCTCTTAGTGAGTGGGAACAACTCTGGCTCTGCCATGGCTACAGCCAGCACCGTCCTCTCTGCTTATCAGGTTTACAAGAATGGAATTAGCTGCTTTTGTATTCCTCATCACAGATTTGAGAAATTTGGGGGTTTTCTTCAGTGTGATTCTCCTATTTGACCTTTTCTCCCTAGTTCACAGTCAAGAGCCCAAATCTGGGTCCCCATGACCAATGCTTGAATCCTGACAGAATTCTTCTAGCTGCTAGTTCACCTCTAGGTTTACCTTGTCTTATCATGCAAACTCTGATCAGATTAATGTTTCTCCCCAAGTACCTTTTTATCCCAGTCAGCACATATCTCACATTTCGGTGAAATATGACTGCTTACGATTTCAACAGCACCCTCAGTTAGCTTGCTATTCTAATCTAAGCAAGGTTTCCCATCGATGAATCCTCGTGCCAAGCCAGCCTCCATTTCCCTGTCTCCCACAGGGGCTCTGACTCAGCCAAACTGGATAGGTTCCTGGGTCCTGCCCAGTCAGACTCCACTGTCAACTGCAAGCACACTTTCGGCCTCAGTTTGAGCTCTACTGTCTCCAAGTGACTTGTACTTCTGCGCACAAGAGTTTTCATTACAAAACTGGATATGAGACATATCTTCAAATATTTGAAGGGATCAAGGGTAAGGATTAGACTTCATCTGTGAAAGAAAAAAATCCAACAACCAGAGAACCATTAGGTTGATAGACAGGAAAAACCTAAAGAAGCTTTTTTAAGTCACAAGGATAAACTCTTTATCAGAGGTGTGGAGAGGACCTCTGCCTGTCAGGAATGCTGGGGAGGGAAGTTGTGCACACCTAGGGAATTGGATTAGATGGTTTCCAAGAGTCTTTTTAATTATGATAGATTCAAAGCACAATGATACAAATGTCTACTTGCAAGTATGTGGCTAAGTGCTCTAACCCCCTGAAATGAAAGTTTCACTTTCTATCGTTTGTCCTCCACCTGAATGCTCCGTTATTAGCCTACAGACATAAAGAATACTACCTCAAATACATGCCTGTCAAATACACAGAGCCATGAATGACACGAGAGAGCTGAAAAGGAAGCAATATGGAGAGTGGCGAGAATGGTGGGAACGGTGGCTGAAAGGCCAGTCTTTTATCTTTAATGTGGCTTCGGGGCAGAGGGAGGAAAAGAAAAGGAGCGAGAGTGAAATCACCACTGTGCTAACCGGCTTTCGAGGATCAGTTCAGAAGAAAGCTTTGGTACTGTCTGCCTTGGTAAAGAGAGCAGGTTCTGGGGAGAAGAGAAGTTGTTAAAGAAGTCAGACATGAGGCCTCCCTGGAGATACCGGGGTTACAGTCCCAGCATTGTGAAGCTATTGCCAGTCACTGCTGTATGAGTTTGACCTTCAGCCAGAGTGCTGACCCACATGGCACTGCAGACCTCTCCTGTCTCACCTGCTGCTCCCCGCAGCAGAGTATTTCAATAGATGTGCCTGTTCTGCTCCCTACCCTGTCTCTGGTGAATCCTCTCACCCCCTGTACTCTGGCTTACATTCCAGTTCTTGTATGCATAAATAAATACATCTTACTAAAAACAAAAGAAGTCCGAGGTTTCAATGTGAATGAATGCCAACCCAGTTTAGGACACATGTCTTTTCTTTCCAAGTCTTGTATGGTAGTACAGCAGCATCAAGTGATCTCTCACAGCCCTGGGGCTCACAGTCTGGCAGCCTGAGAGGAACCGCCACCAGGGATGGGGAGAGCAAACACTTACTTGTTGCAGTGCTGTTTGAGGTGTTTCTTGTAGCCATCATCATGCAAGACTACCTCAGGGTTGCAGGTGGCCAGCCAGTCGGCATTCTTTAACTCTGGGAGCAGCAGCTGGTTCTTCGTCTTCTTCCCCTTCCGCCCTCTGGGGACTGGAGCAGACAACCCTGATGCAGAAAGATGGTGTGGAACAAATGGGTCAGGCCCTGGTGCCAGGCAAGAGTTGGCTTGGGGCTGCAGAGATGCAGCTAGGCAGCCAGGGTGGCCCACCAACCAGTGACAATGTACAATGCGCCTGGTGTCCCGCTCGGTAACCCTCAGGGTCATTCAGTCAGGGAGCAGTAATTCACTGCATCTGTGCCTTTCAGAAACTCAGATCTCAGCCAGGGAAAAAGGAGCACCTGGTCTGAAACTGAAGGTGGAGCATGGCCGAGGACCAAAAGGAGACACAGCACACACACATAAAAGGGCAGACAGCGATGAACCTGGGACAGACTGGAGAAAGGCAAAATACAAAGCACAATACCCACAGTCTGTGCCTCCAATTCAGAGCAGGAGCCTCTGTTACGCTGAGGTTGGGGGGAGGAGGGGAAAATTCAAAAGGGCTCAACTGTACTTGACATACCACACGTAACACTGAATTGATTCTGAGGGAAAATGGCAAACATCTCCATCCATCCCCACAGGGAACACTGAAATATAGTGAGAAATAGAAGTTCTCCAAAGTGTAGCAACATGGACCAACACTGGAGAAGTGATACAAGTGTATTGAGCTTTGCACTTCTCAGACCTGAGCTCACCTGAGTGGTTCTGGAGGGTTTGGGCCTGCCCATCTTTGGTAGGCGTGATCAATTCCCAAATGAAACTCTTGATCTTCTCGTCCCCCTTGTAATGCTTGACACAGTACACCAGCAGGGCACGGCAAATCATTTCCATGTCCTTCTCATTCAGATGCCACTTAAACCGTCCGTGAGTCAGGATGTCCTTCCAGCGGCCCCAGCTGAGTGTGGAAACAGAGAAAGGCTTTGAAAGCAGAAGGACCACGCATGTCCTCCACACTGCAGGACAAGGAGCCACAAGTCATTCTCATTCCCTGTAGGGTCCATTAATCTCTCAGAGCTTCGTTCTGAAAGGCCTTTGAAAATAGCATGCTGGAACATGCTGAATGTTACTAACGGGACATGGACATCATATACAGAGCTTCAGATGGCCAGTAAAATGTTAAGAAGAGAGGGATGAAAATATCTGGCACCGGGAGTAAATCTGGAATTAAAACAGAATCCAGCTGCAGCATTCAAAAGCAATGATGAACTCCCAGAAGCTAAACCTTCTTTTTCTACCAGAGCCAGAACCCTACACAAATCATGCCTTAACTTTAACATCTGTTGCATATCCTTGGGGGACAAAAGCAGGAAATTAATACCAGGCAGCAAATTAGTAACAGAGATTTGCTATGACAAGCATTATGAGAAAACCACAGCCCGACTATAATATGGCAGCAGAAGGCACAGTCACTGTGGGAGAGGCTTTGAGCAGACAGCAGTTTTCTCCCGCTCTAACAGATCTTCCATCATTCCAGGGGGAATCAGAGAGGCTGAACCAATCTGAGGACTGAAAAGAAGAGGGGAAAAATAACAATAAATAAGCAAAGCCAATACCCACCCAAAGATGAGTAGGTTCTTCTCTACCCGGAAGCATTCAGCTCGGAGGTAGCGCCTGGTTTTGTCATTGAGGCGCCTGGACCTCGTGGGCCTTTCATCAGAGTCACTGTCTAACTCTGAAAACTCCATGAGCTCATCCTCCTCAAAGGAGTTGTAATGTTTGGTCTGCTTTCGCACGCGAGGCCGGTCGATCACTAAGCTTTCCTAGAAATAGAGAGGACTGTTAGAGAGAAAGCCCTCTTCTCACTATCCCCATCCAACGGTGCTTCTCAGGGTGGACTTGGGAAACACTGCACCCTGGCTTCATTCTCTAGAAGGAAAGGCTCTCCCCGCACACCTGCTGTGTCCACACAAGCAGAGGGGATTCTCTGCAACTCGCTTAAGTTGGCATGCTCCCCAGCCCCCAGCACTGTCTGCCACCATCTGCTGTTTCTGCAGTCACAGTAGTGGGCATGGGCAGGCGAGCCCCCCGGTGCTGAGTGGCAGTCTGCTTTTGCCAAGAAAGGCCGGAGTGGTCATCACAGCTGTTCTGCCAGCATGCAGAGGCAGTCTGTGCACCGGAGACAGGGTGAGCTGCAGAACTCCATCTGCTCAGCGACTTTCTTAAGGCAAACACACATTCCTGCTGCTTCACTTTTTGCTTTCCACTGGCACTACTTACCAACCTTTCGTCTTTCACTGAAAACATCATTCCCCGCTCAGAAACCTTACCAGTGACTGCCCAGGCTACACACATCACTGCTTTTCTAGTCTTCATCATTTCATGCTCCCTTCCCCTCCCAAAGCTCAGCTAAGCTCCTAAATTCTCTCTGAAACCCAGATAAATCTCTAGATTTATCATCCATGCCTCAGCCACCTTGCTATTCCAACTGCTTCTTACTGTACACAAGGCAAGAACTTTTCCTTTTCCTAACCCATGACACCATCCCCCCACCCCATTAACTCCTTGATCGTGACACTTGAAACAGGTTAAGAGAGGGCTGCAGGGCTCTTTTCTCCTGTTTGGAGAAAAGAGGTTGGGTTAAGCAACCTGAGGGTCCTATAAAAGAATAATCAAGGCTGGGTGCTGGTGACTTAATCTGCTAGATGTAAGCTTGAATTGCCTTCTAGGTGTGTGGGTCCACAAGAGTTTGATACTCACCCAAGAGGACAGACAGAATGATGTGTGTTCATGCAGTGAGGTGATAGGGTCAAAGATAGAATGGAGGAAATGAACATTTCAGAGGCACCTCACAATGGGTGCAGCAGTTATTTTCACAAATGTTATCTCCAACTGTGAAGTGGGCCACCTTTGCTTCTCATATGTCTGTGAAGGTAACTACCTTGCCCAAAGGCACAAGGCCAGGCAGTGGTAGACCCATTTCAGACTCTGGCTATATTCTGAGGCTATAGCTCACATTCGAAAGTAGCAAAATTAAAGATACTGCAAGAATGGAGGTAAAACCAACAAGTATTCTTCATCATGCTATTTCCCTCTTCCTGGTACTCATAAAATGAAGTTTCTTGCATAGAAAGTGTTGGAACAGAGGTAAAATAGCCACATGCCAATGATGGCTACTGGCCTGGGACAGAAGGCTGAATTTACCTATTGTCCTAATTGCCTCTGTCTCATTTCTGAATGCGACACTGGTCATGACACTGGTCATTTTAAACTCATTAAATAGTCAATAAAATATTCTTAACTTTGTACCTTTTCATTCTTTGCTTCAGTGTCCAATTCAGCTATTTTAGCCCATTTCTGCCAAAAGTTTGGGTCATCTAAGGAAATATCTGTTCTGTTTCCTGAAGCCACAAAGCTAGCCTGTGAAGACAAGAGTCAATTAAACATAGTACAAACTAATAAAACACTTGTGTTACTTCAAATGTATAAGAAACCCAAGGATATTATTCTCCATTGAAATCTAAACCAAAACCCCAAGAGCCTATAAAATGAACATGAAAATCATAAAGCTAAGCTTTAAATTCTGTTTTAAAGACTGGGCGAGGAAATTGGTTTCAACCTACAGCATCATTTTTTTTTTTTTTTTTGGAACTTAAACTTAGAAGCAGGAAGACAACCCCTGGAAAGTAACAGCAATGCTATCTGATGTCTAGTTCCCTAAGAAAGGTTGATCCCTAGAACTCCCCTAGATTTTTTCTTTCATCTCCAAAGTTACCAAGTGCCTGCTCTAAGAAGGGGCTGGTTGGGTAGTATGAGGTATGCAGACAAGAGTGACGCCCACAAAGCGTGAAATGCCCCAGCTACAGTACTGAATGACTGAGTAGCTCCCGGAGTGCCCAGAGCCTGTGGCCACGCAAACCCGAGAGGAATCTAATAAGCAGTCTGAGCTGCTGATTTCTAAATAGTGACATGAGAGCAGAGGAAAGGGGTCTTCACCAGAAGCTAAGAATCTTGAGAATTGTATCTTTTCTCACAAAGTAGACAGTATCTTTTCTCACAAAGTGGACAGAACACTGCTTCAGTCTGAGGAATGGCTTGAGTATGAGGAATGGAGTATTCATGGAATTTCAACTCTGACATTCATCATAGCATATGCATCATAGAGTCATCAAGATGACCATTCAGGGGTTTCAGAATAGTCCTTGCAACAGTGAACTCTGTAAACTGCAAACTGAAGTCTACTCCTGCTGAAGCTCAGCAGCTAGAGGTTAGAAAAGTGCCTTCTTTCCCCAGGTCTGACCCATTATTTAGACTTCCTGTACCTTCAGGGTTTCATGCAGAATAGATGGGAAACAGCTACCTCAAGGACATCACATTTAGAGAAAAGAAGCCTGGGTAACAAGGGACAAAAAAAATAAACTTCTCTCTCCTATCCCAACAAGTACTCAGGAGAGAAGTTCTCTACCTTGGCAAAGGTGGACCCTTTCCCTTCAGACTGGATGGTGATGGTGTGGGTTCTTCTCTGCAGAATCTGGTCTATGTCTTCTTCACAGAACTTGGAGCCTTCATCTTCCTCATCCATTAAGGCTCCATAAGCACCTTTCCGGAGCAAGTCCTCTACCTCCATTTTTGAGAGTTGCTGTACCTGGACAGGTCACCAAAGGCTACTCACAAAGTAGAAAATGCACAGGAGAAAAACAGCCTCAAGCCTGGCCTTTAGAACTCACTAACCACACATGTCAGAAAAATAAACATGGACCAAAAAAAGAAAAACCAGATAAAGATGGAGTCAAAGAGAACTCTGGGGAGGGCAGGCAGACAATTGCTACTGGGAGCACCGAAAGAAGACCCAGCACATGATCGATGCAGTGGCCCTAACATTCTTCAGGACGCTGGTTATTATCCAAAGTCACAAGTCATTAAAACTATGCACCACTGAAGAAGGTATACTGATGTTTAAGTTTGAGTCTACATCTTTAAAAGCCTCCAGATGTATCAAATGAGTTAAAGAATAATGATTTAGTCATTATTAAATAAATACATTAGTATTGGAAATGATGTCATTTCTTAACAAAAGAAAAGATCTCATGCCAAGTGTGATCTTCTCAATTGCTTGTTGAAAACAGGAAATGGAAGTTCAAAACACCCTTTCCTGGTTCCAATTAAGAATCTGGTTCTCTTTACAACAATCACAGGAGGGAATTCCATGAGTCCCAGCACTGGTCATTTGAAGTATTATACTCAGCAACATATGCACAGCAACGAGGATATAGAACATCTGGACTAAAGACAACTCCTTTGATACCCTGAGCTCAGAGATTAAGGAGATATTCCATTTTATTTGCCTACACTTTAGAACAATTTAAGGATTTTAGCTGCAACTTTTCTCCATGTGGGAGAGATTTTAGCTGCTCATTTACTCACTAACCATCGGCTGGTGTCTTTAATACACCAAATGTGGTTAGAGGCCTTGCATAATATATCTGATAAAGTAGGTTACATTATGCCCTCAGGAGCTACAAGTCTGGTGATAGCAGTTAAGAGTGGTAAGATCTACTGACTTCTAACAGGCACTGTTAAGAACTGCTGACTGAAATGTTACTGTGTCTGGAGCAATCCTATGTAACTGCTTCTACAGATTTCCTTTATCCACACATAAAAGGCAGAGACCTGGCCCTGAATTATCCTCCTACTGAATTACCCAACAAAGCTGTGTAGGCTAACTCAGTGTAGTGAAAGTGAATTTCAGAATAGCTGGACAAAGACCCCAGACCACCTGGGCTGCGTAACAAATGCTTCTTAAGCCTTCAGAGGAGGTATTGTCATACTTACCCCATTGGTGCCGCCTTTTCGGTTGATGTCCTGAAGAACAGCTTTGTCCAGACCCAGCTTAAGGCTGGCTTTGTCAAACATTTCCCGCTCATAGGAGTTACGAGTAATGAGACGGTACACCTTCACAGCTTTGCTCTGGCCTATCCGGTGGCATCGGGCCTGAGCCTGGGAAGGAAGGAGGGTCACACATGTCATGTCACCAGTTATGATGGCAGCAGCCAAAGGAATAGGAAAATGCTGACATTCACGTGGGGTAAGAGAATAGCGCTCAGTAATGAGTTATGGGACAGATTTTTATAGAATTTACCCAAATGAAGGTTGCTCCTTCAAGGTCACTCATATCTTCCCTCTTTTATCGAGTGACTACTGTGTGATGGGATACAGTGTTGTGAAGCACCTGGCTTCCTGCCCGCCCCGCCCCAGTGTGTAGTCTGAGCACACACACATTCCCACACATTCTTGGGCAATGTCTCAGAGCTGCAAACTCCAGATTTTAAAAATTTTACTACAGAAACTTTCACTCACAGACAAAAGTACATGACAATTCCATTTCATCTGTACCACACCCATGCTCTCTAATAATGCTATGAAGTCAGTCTTAGGTATCATGTTTTACCTGCACAAATTTCAGTATGTATTTTTTTTTTTAAAGATTTATTTATTTATTCATACAGAACTGGGGTACAGGCCAGAGATGCGGAGGGTGAGAGGATTCACCAGAGACAGAGTGGGGAGCAGAACAGGCAGATCGACGAAGTACACTGCTGAGGGGAGCAGCGGGCGGGTCAGGAGAGGTCTGCCACGCCATGTGGTCACCTCCGGGGCAGGCGGGAATCGAACTCATGCGGAAGCGGCTTTAGATTCTCAGTGCTGTGCTTTAACCCGCTGTGCCACCAGGGAGGGCCTCAGTATGTATTTTTAAAGAGAAGGACACTTATAAAACATACTCTTACTGCCACAGCTCAACAAGCTAATTCTTAGTACCAACTCATCAGTCACTGCTCCAATTTCCCTGCTTAGCTCATTCATAAATCTACAACTTTATAAACCAACAGCCGTGTTTATATTAGGATTCAAAAAAGGTAACTGTTTGATAAGTCTAAAGTCTCTCTTACAGCTATTGCCAGACTTTGATCTCTCATTTTATCAAATGTAATTTATTTGCTGATGTGACCAGGTTATCACTAAATAGGTTCTTGTTTCCTGTATTTCCTCTAAGCTAGACTTAATCAAATAAAGTTTGTCTATCTTAGTTTTAAATGGATGACCACTGCCTAGACACATTATTTTTGTTTGATGATGTACAGATCATAGAAGAAAAACAAGGTCAAAATTTTGGTTCTTTCTCTTTATTTCGTTCCCAAAATAAAATCCTCTAAAGTGACCAATGAAGATCAGGAGTCTTAGATAGCTCCCTTGCTTTCTAATATGAAGCTCTTATATCTTTCCTGCCCAGGCCTGGACTCAACCAATTTTCTTTGAAGGAGTCCTAGTTTTTTTTTTTTTTTTTTTTTTTTTTGGTGGGAAAAGGTAGTCAGAGCAATAATTTGGATACTCTAGTGGTGTTCACTGCTACTGACTTGGTCTTTGTTTCTAGGTTTATTTAGTAGGCAAAATAGGTATTCATGGGTATATAGTACATACAACTCTGTACAAATATAAGACAAAATGCATCATGAGATCATGCTGATATATATATTTTTATTTTTAAAGGAAGTACTGTTATTTTACATCATTGTTAATATTTTTACAGTATAGTATTTCTCCACAGTGATATGCTGTCAACCATATCAATATCACTGCTCATTTGATTTATCCCACAATACATCCATCAGCCTCAGAAAAACAGTACCATTACAATCTTCCTTAAATTATTGAAAACAATGTAATAAGATTTTTGTTTCCCCCCTATCAGGGTTATATCCTAGTAACTATGTACAATCAAATTATAGTGCTTTAAATACACACTTGTAGGTAGGTTTCTTTTTTGCAGTGGTAAAGTTAGTAATTATAAAACTACTTCTGTTTAATATGGGGTTGAGTGAATGAATAAATGTTCTAGGGTCAGGGTTTTCACTGTTGAAGAAGGAAGTTACAAATATGGAAAGAAGGAAAACTAGAGTAATTCTGTGGCATTAGAATGGATTTGAGATATCAGTATTAACACACGGTTAGGTGTGTGATGTGTCTTACAACATATACAGCTACAGAACTAGACATGAACATGGTTATTTCTGTTTATGTATACACATGTGTACATACAGATACACATGAAAACATGCTATGTGTCCATTCATTCTAGTTATATCCACTGGGAGGGCCTAGAAGCAAACAACATCCCAGTAGCAGACTGTAACTCTCAACTCTTGGTTTCTAAATACCATTCTCCCTAACTCAGAACCATGGTTAGAGAAATGAGGTTGATTCCAGAATCAAGGTAGACAAAGTAGAGGATGACCTTGAAACATTGTGCCAGAATATAAGGAAGTATGCAAAGGATGATGGAAACATACTAAAAAAACACCTGAATCTTTAAGAGGCTTCTACTGGCTAAGTCTAGGACTGCATGGACACTGGACATCAAATCAAAATAAGTATAGTAGTGGAATGTAACCCACTAAAAAAAAAAAAAAAAAAAAAAAAAGAACCCACAAGTCCATACTAACATAAGTAAATGGAACAGAAGGAAAAACTTTCCTACTGCATAATATAACTGTAAGTCGTATGACAGAGAATCACCACTTTGCAACCATCACAGTGATGAACGATTCAGGCAAAAATAATCAGTGGAAACTAACATTAGCGGCTGAGGCTCTGATGAGGAACAGGGTATTTTACAGTCTCAAAGTATTTCTCCAAAATTACGTAACGAATTCCAAAGGAAAAATAGCAGCTTTCTGGTTGAAAAGGCTGGCAGATACTACTAGTGAAGAGATAAAGTACCACACTCCAGACAAGAGCATACACTTCTTCTGATGCACACAATGACGACAGAACACGCCGTGGAACGACTATGCCTCAGCCCAATCCTGGGGTACACATGCAAACATGAACTGAGGGACATTCTAGATACCAACTGGCTTGTACCCTTCCAAAACATTATTAGAGGAAAAGAAACACCAAGGAATGATACAGATTAAGGAGACTAAAGAGAAAGGAGAAGTAAAGATAATGAGTGATCCTGGAATGATTCTTAGACGGGATCACAGCTATAAAAGATATTGAAAAATTGAAAAAATTTGAATATGGGACTGTGGGTGGAGACTGTTCTAACTTCCTGATTCTGAGAACTGAGCTGTAGTTACACAAAAGAATGTCCCGGCACTTAGAAATACACAATAAAGCACTCGGGACAGCTTATGCGCAAGTGGTTCAGACCAAACATTGGTATATATATTCTCAGATAGACAAAGGATAGTTAGGGCAAAAAAGGGGTAAACTGGGAAAAAGTAAACAGTTGGTGAATATGGGTAAAGGGTATACTGAAGTTATAAAGTGAAATTATATCATAATAAAAAAGTAAAAACTTCACATACAGACATTTAAAATAATTTCTCTTAGAGTTATGCCATTCATTTGCTATCTATATAGCTAGATTCTACAATTCCATAAAGCTTTTTTAATTTAGGGATTAATTCTCCCTGTCATGCTCTCCCTACCTTCTCCCCCAGCCCCCATCAATTTAACCATAATGGAGGAGGTAGGAAAGAAAAAAAACTACCAAGTAACTTTGGAAATAGTATTTTGATTTTATTATAACACCAATGTTTTGTTTTTTTTTTTAAAAAAAACAATACTATAATCCTGTATTATATGCTGGTAAATTTATTTTTCACAGAATATGGATTGACAGTTTTGAAACAACTGTGTATAAAGGATTGAACAAATGAATAAATACACTATTATGAAAATGAGATCTAGTCTTCTCACAGCCAGAAAAATGAATTATGAATAAGGAAAAAGAGAAGACCAAAATGTACTTTGTGATGTTGGGCTGGGATTCAGAACCCTCACTCTGGATGGACAGACATGGAATAAATACATACGTGTGGTATGAGTGCTTACTAGTGTACACACGTAATGTATTCTCTGGCTTTGTCTGCTAGGAGACTCTAGAAGCAATAATGCTCTGGCAGCAATGGGCACACACACAGAGTGGTCAGATCTTGGTTACTAAATACCATTCTGAGAATAAAAGAACCTGGGATTTTGGGAGAAATTTGTAAATTCTACGGCTATGGCAGGAAAAATGTAAAATGAACCTGAAAATCTTTTAGTACTTTTAAAAAGTAAGCAACTGTTCAAAAGGATATAGGAGCCAGCCTGAAGGAACTCCCAATAACCCCCATCTGAAAAGGAATCTGGGAGGGGGGGGAGGCTGTTGATTATAACTCATAGAAATAAAATAAATATCCATGACCCCATACTAATATAAATAAATGGGGGATAAAGGACAGCTGCTCTTTACTCCCATTAATAAATGTAGAAGGAATGACTTAAACAGAAAGTTACCATAGCCAAACATTGTGGTAATAATTACTGAGGCAAGAAGCACTGTCAGAGGTTAAAATTAATGAGCAAAAGTATGATACGAAACAATGTATTTATAGAGTCTCTAAAGGCCTCCCAATATAGTGATTAATTTTAAGGTAAAAAGAGTTGCTTTTATCTGAGAAGCCTGGCAGACACCATCTCAGCCAAATACTGAAGGCTATATTACAATTAATAAGATGTATCAACACCATGAACCCCGATATGACACACTGAGAAGGATAGAACATCACTTTCTTATCTTTGCCAAAATGCATGACCTCACATCTGATCATGACAAAACAGGCAAACACAACAAGAGAGGCCTAAGATTGCTGGTCAGTACCTTTAAAAAGTATCAAGGTCATAAAGGATAAGACAAGAGCTGTCACAGACTGGAGGAAGCAAAGGAGTCATGGTATCTGGAAGGAAATGTGAGATACTATTTGGGCTCCCACACCAGAAAAAGAACATTTGTGAGAAACAAATGTGTCAATAACTACACTATGGTCATATAAAATGTTAACATTAAGGAAAGCTGAATGAAAAAGCGTAGAAGAACTACACTGTTTTGGAAATCTTTTTTTTTTTTTTTTAGTTTAGAATGATTTTAAAATAAATGTTTTAAAAATGAA